TGATGCAGATGTTGACAGATATAAAGATTTCCTCTTCCACACAGCCCAGCTCATCTAATGCAACCACAACTCCCTCAGTCGACGGTATCGCAAATAGCATTGCTGAATCTCATTATGATCCTGATACCTAGGTTACTTTTGACATGTGGTTCCGGCGATATGAAGATTTATTTAAATTTGATTTCGATAATCAAGATGATGCCTGTAAGGTTCGGTTTCTACTTCGAAAGTTGGGTGCAAGTGAGCTGGACAAGTACTGCAATTCGTTCCTGCCTTTGAACACACAAGATCGTTCATTTTCTGAGACAGTTCAGACATTGAGCCAACACTTTGGCGACAACTCGTCACTGTTTAATACTCGTTATCGATGTTTGAAGTTAGTTATGAACGAAGACGATGATTTTTTTACACACGTGGGCATCGTCAACTGTGAATATGAACGCTTTCGGTTGAAGTCTTTGTCTGAAGATCACTTTAAAGCCCTCATACTCATGTGCAGCCTCCAGTTGCAAAAGTTCAGTGATATAAGAACAAGGCTACTATGTTGATTAGAGCAAGATCCGAATTCAGGCTTAGTGACATGGCTAATGAATACCAGCGTCCCAATAATCGACAACGAGACACAAAGTGGTGGTTCAAGCCGATCTGAGGTACAATTAGTACAGCAGCTACTTAACCAGAATAAAGGTGCCCTTACTACACCCAGTTCATCCCACTATGGCTAAGCCCGAAAGATGGAAGCAGAGCCCCCTGCTGCTTGCTGGCACTGCGGCTCATGGCATTATGTACGAAACTGCCCACTGATGCAGCATCAATGCAGGAAGTGTAAGGTCATCGGTCATTAAGATGGTTTTTGCCCAAAGAGAAAGTCGAACCGATCCAGAAGTGCCAAGAAGTCTGTTACTATATCCGGTACCAATTCATTGAGCCTAATATCCTCCCGCCAAAGCCCATCACCAGGTGAGAGGAAATTTGTTACTCCCAATATTAACGGGCATCCGCTTAGATTGCGAATAGATACCGCATCCGATGTCACAATCCTCTCGCGTAAAAATTGGACCAAATTAGGCAGCTCAAGCCTGAGGCAGACAACAAAGAAGTCTCGTACAGCATGTGGTAATTACCTTCGTCTGTTAGGACAACCGGAATGCAAAGTTGCCTTCCGATACTCGTCATCTACTGAGGTGTGTTATATAACTCCAACCGATCTAAATTTACTTGGTTTAGATTGATTCGACCAGTTAAATTTAGCTGATGTCCCGTTAAATACCACATGCCACCTGGTATCATAGCCACATGACCGTGAATCATATACGAGGAAGCTGATGAAGGACTTTTCAACCATTTTCTAACCTGGATTAGGTCAGTGCGCTGCCATGAAAGCAACACTTCGGCTGAAACCTGGTGGTTAGCTTGCCTTCCGTCCAAAGAGACCAGTACTTTATGCAATATTAGCAACAGTAGATGAAGAATTGAATCGCCCTCAACAACAAGGAGTTATTAATCCCGGTTCTCACTCTACATAGGTAGCACCTATAGTTGTTATTAAGAAAGCCAACGGCACGATACGTATATGTGGTGACTTTTCTACAGGTCCCAATGCAGCTCTGGAACAGCGTCATTATGCTCTGCCAGTTCCCACAGATCTGTTTATTATGCTGAATGGGTGAACATTTTTAGCAAAGCTGTATCTAGCTGATGCTTATTTGTAAGTGGAATTAGATGAAGCACCTAAAGAGCTTTTTATTAACAATACTCATCATGGCTTGTTCCGTTACAACCAACTGCCTTTTGGAGTTAAGACTGCCCCTTCTATATTCCAGCAACTAATGAATACCATATTATCAGATATCTCAGGGGTCGCAGCTTATCTCAATGACATTTCGATCGTTGCGAATTCGTTAGAACAGCTACGGGAACGCACGACATTAGTGCTACAACGCATCAGTGACAACGGGTTCCGGGTACACCCAGAGAAATATCAGTTTTTATTGCAGTGGGCAAAGCGTTTGGGATTCATCTTTGATGCCGGCGGCCGCAGATCTGATCCTGAGAACATCTGAGCTATCAAAATGATGCCCACTCCCACTAATATCTTGGCACTACGTTGCTTGTTATCCATCAATCAGCGTTTGTTCCTTCGACGTATGATATTCGCGCCCCATTGAATTGTCCATTGCAGAAAAACAGCACTTGGAATCGGACTAAAGAGTGTGACGCGGCGTTTTGTAAGCTCGAGTTCATAATTAGCTCGAAATGGTTATGAACACACTACGATCCATCCATGCCAATCATCGTAGCAGACGCCTAGGCGCTGTTATTTCACATCAGTTTCCAGACGCGTCAGAAGAAGCCGTCAGGCATTCATCCCGTACACTAACCCAGCAGAAAAGAATTGCAGCCAGATAGAGAAAGAAGCTCTTGCCCTTGTGTTTGCTGTTCGCCGTTTCCACAAGTTTCTGTACGGTCGGATATTCACGCTCCTCACACATCACAAGCCTCTGTTGACAGTATTCTGTTCTAAATCTGGCATTCCAGCCCATTCTGCAAATCGTCTTCAGCGATGGGCCTTGGTACTTTTGGGGTATGATTTCGAAATCCTATTTCGACGCACTCTACAGTTTGGTCAGACAGATGCTTTGTCACGACTCATTAGTGATCAAGTGGCGGCTAAGGAAAACATGGTAATCGTATCTCTGTCAGTGGAAGGCCACGCAGAATGTTATCTTACAACCACAATAGGGCATTGCTGGTTTTTGCAACAGACATACAAAATACTTCTAGAAGCGACTTCATCATCAGGATGACGGTGAAATATGTCACCGATGGTTGACCTTGGAAGAAGTTTTTTGGTGACACGAAGCAACTGTATCAGCGGCGGGATTCACTATACGCCGTAAAAGACTGTTTGATGTTTGGTGAACAAGTGGTGATGCCAGAATGTTTTCGTGCAAAAGTTCTGAGACAGTTCCATCTTGGTCATACTGGGGTTGGACGAACGAAATCCGTAGCCATGAGGAGGCAAAAATGAGTTCCAAAGTTCCGCCGGTTTCATGGCCCAAACCTGATTCCCCTTGGTCCATGATGCACGTTGACTTCGCGGGCCCAAATAATGGAACTGCGTATTTAGTTGTGGTTGACGCCTTCCCAAAATGGCTGGAAATCAACTCCGTAATACAGCTCTCGACGACTAAGACAATACACTACCTCACTGAAATTTCCTCTCGAAATGGCATACAAGATGTGATCGTAGTTGAAAGGAGACAGACGTTCATCCGTTTGTTTTGAGAACAAACTTTTGAAGATATGTTGTACAAGTTATGCTAGTAAACCGTGTCTTCTTTCAGTAAATCACTTATTCCCTATTATCTTAACGTCTTTAAATATGGGCAGTTTACAGATGTAGAAGAACCACTAAAATGAAACCTATCACTTCTGTCGAACCCTGCATCTAGTCTGAATACCCTACTTCATTATAATGCCTTACTTTGAAAGGCAGAGCTAAAACTTGTCAGCTGGTCAGTCCTGATGACCCAAACAAGAACAACAGTTATAAAAGAGAGCTAATCGAAAGACCGTTTTTGAAAACTATGACCATTAAGTGCAGTCTGAACTGTTAACAACACCTACAACTGAACAGGAGCTTCATAATTAAAAGAAAGCGCGAAACTGGTATCCTAGAGATCAATGCAGTGAATAAGGGTATATCATCTGCTCCTAAACAGGTTTACTTCGCTAACTGAGAAAAGTGGCCTCAACGTGGCTGCACTATTTGAAGAGACATTCATTAGTCTACTTAACCAAGACAAGATCTCAATCTATTTAAAGCTAGTACTAACTACGACAATTATCGAAAGTGTTTGGTACCAAGAACATTGATGATACAGGCCATTAGAGTTTCCTAAAATACCTGTAGAGATTATGGAGTCTCTGACATACGATGGCTCTGACAATTATTTGTTATTTGTGAATTTCTTCTAATATACCTCGGCCGCAGGAAGGAATATAGCTACAGCACCAATCTACTGACCGCGGTGGATGTATGGACCACCATTCTTGATCACAAAGCTGAAAGTGATGTGTATTAATTCACCACTGATTAAGTAGCTTTAGTAATATCTAAATGATGGAATTTTTAAGGTCACGATGAAATATTCATTTACATAGGCTAGAAATTCGCTAATTTGAGACCACAAATTTCTCTTATAGAACCTCTTCCCCTTTCAATTTACACAAATGAGGGTTTAATGTCAGACAACACTTAGAAGTCTGTAGGTTATGTTTTGAGATGAGTTTCAAACAACACATGCAACTGAGGTGGTTCCATTATAGAGGCATCGCATTTCAAATATGATCTTGGGATTTTGGTGCCAGTTTTACAAGGCAAAATTTTGGGTCCTAAGTAAATCAAATTCCAAAGCTTATGAAACCATATTTTCCATTATCTACTGGGGTTAAAAAGTCAGTTATCTTTTCGAACAATTTTCAACAAAAGCATAGTAGTTTCACTAGATATTGATCTTGAGTTTAGTTTATTACACCGACTTGCTAACTACTAGAATTCCCTTCCAGGATGCCAATGGATACATCGGAAGTGATGGTGGGTTTCATTAATTTTATAAGTTCCGGTGATTATAAATGGTTATCTTGTAACGCATTCAAGACTTTACTCTACCAACTTCTAGTTTCGATCATCATCTTGTCTTGAACTCATGCCGGCTTTATTTTTGGTTGCTGTCTATTCATTCTTCCATTGAATGTAAGTGCATTTTATGTGCTAGCAGGGACGCCAGCTCCATGACTTTTCCAAATAACCTCGCACGCTAATCCTCACACATCCCTAGCACACAACGTACCTTCTTGCTAAAGGTAAACTAGAAAAAGGGTGAAGTAAGAATATGACTGTTAATTTTTCTAAAATCTTTGAACTTTTAATGTTCTATTGAATGAAGTGGATTGAAGAAGTGGCTTGTTCTATTCAAGGTCACTAACGGCAACTGATGGCGGATATAGCGTTTGACCATATAACTCAAGAGGTTAGGGGTACTGTATATCCAGGGAAGCTCAGACTCAAAGAGGATGAGTTTATGTATAAGAACGAAAAGACTGGAAAAGTGGATCACTTCTCTCGATCCGATATAGAATCAGCCCAATGGATAGTCCGTGCCACCGGCCTAGGGCTTACCATTAAATTAAAAAACAACTCTTTACATCGGTATGATGGCTTTGGTGAAATCGAAGCCGAAAAAGTCGGGAGCTTTTTTAAGAAGTATTTCGATGTCGAAATCGTAAAACGTGAATTGTGCTACAAAGGTTATAATTGGGGAGATGTGGATTTTGATGGTAATCAAGACTTGCATTATCTATTGATAAAGGCGATGTTCTTCAGTTTTCAGTTAAAAATGCTATGGCTTTTGAAGTTCCTTTAAGCAATGTTGCAAACGCTGTCTTGAACAAAAATGAGATCATTTTCGAATTTCATTTGAATGACGAGGCTGAAATTTGCTTATCTGAAATGCGTCTATACACTCCGGGAACTGAGGCTGATAGGGAGGGTAAAGCACCTATCATATATTCTAAAGTTACTCAGAAGGCGGATATTATCCAGGTGAGTCTATTATCTGCTTTATCACGACAATTAAGGTCACGGGTGATTTCTTGATCGAATTCAAACAATTGCAATGCCTTCAACCTCGTGGTCGTTATGATGTTAAGTTGTATCCAAGTTTTATTCACTTGCATGGCAAGTCTTTCGATTTCAAAGTTCCGAAGAATACTATTACTCGACTGATGGTGCTTCCTCATCCTGATAATCGGCAAATATTCTTTACTGTTCAACTTGATCCACCGATCAAACATGGTCAAACCAGATATCACTTCGTGATTTTCCTTTTCGACAAGGATTCGCATGTAAGTTTGGAGATGGCCGCGACAGAAGAGTGGCTTCAAGAACAGTTCAGTGGGAAACTGACGCGTAATCTTTCTGGACCTGAATACGAAGTCGTGGCTCGCGTGTTTAAGGTAAGACTAAATGAATGTTCTCGATCTGCAAGACTTCTATAGTGTGTAAATATTTGGAAAGGTAGTAGGCTATTTCTTAGTGTAACTACTATCAAGAAGCCTCTTGCCTTTTACATGTTCGGTTGAAAATAGTAGGGAACTACGAGTTGTTCTCAACCCCTCTAGTGTCTCAATTACATTTTCATCGAATAAAACACATAGGTAGCGTGTATTTTTTAATAAAAATTGAAAAGTGATTGGTGTACGTTCGTTCTGGCTGATAGGCTACTTCACTGAACAATTTTTCGATTCTTTAAAGCTCCATACCAATCGATGAACACAAACTTAAGGCATTAATTCACTAATTTTCGAACAAAATACATGTTTATCAACCAAGTTGAATAATGTTTTGGTTTTGGAGATCTAAGTGTGTAAAACAGATGAACGTTTCGTTTTCTGGTCATCATTTATAAGTGTCTTTCCATAATTAGTTAAATCTCTGACGTATCGCCTGGGAACGTACACTTCATCAGAACGTTCACAAGAACACCTAGATTTTTAATGTGGCAGAGGTTGAATTCGGGTGACATGTTGCGGTACCGTATTTAAATATTTCCCCACGGTAGCTTCTACCTTGGCGTGGTGGTCGAGCTTGACTATCGTGATGACCCAACCAAGCTATATTGGCTCGAACATATGTTCTTGTAGGTTCTACTATGCCAGGCAGGTCGATTGGAAAACGATGAGACTAAAAGCAATTTCTCAAAGTCTGGGGCAAAGTCGAACTGCTGACTGCAGAGGAGTGTAACAGCAGGAAGATGTTTCCCTCGGACAACCAGCATCTGCAGCGATGCTGCCTTGTCATAAGGAAGGAAGGAAGGAAGGGTTAGAAAATGTCGACCCTAAAAATGTCACAACTCACCCTACATCATGGATTTCCGTCTCTGGCGGTAAGCTAATAGGTGAGAAACTCATAAAAAACACATGAGATCGAAATAGTCACAATTAATTCCTTTCTACACCTCACATCTCTCGCCTCTCTACGACTAATCAATTTTAAATTTCTTTATCGCCTCACGCCGCTAATGCAATCGATTCGAGTTCACAAAACGTTACTCCTGATCCCGTCCTAAACTACATGTTGGAGCTTTCAGTGTTCGAACCGTGTGTCAAATGGATCATCAGGCTTTATTAATCTAAACTCTGGAATCTCGAGCCATCATTGTGTGTTGCATCTCCGGAACGCGCATACAAGATCCGAGTAGATCCCAGTAGACAGTCGTTTATGTGCTGTCCGACTGAACGAAACCATAATAACACGTAAAGATAGGGATACCCGACGTTGCCTTACCTGTTGACCTGGCGACCTCCAAAGTCGTCTCAACGTTGGACCCAACTGGATCACAGTGCCATCAGCCACAGATGGAGGGGGTTCGATAGAGGACTGTCGCTCGTTCTGTGGCACATGTTTAGATTCAGATCATGCCCCAGTGCGAGCGCGTATCTGTTTGAGACTTACTGGGCGTAAGAAAGACACCGTAAGGAAGCCTCTTAGGGTCTTACTTGATGATGATAGAGCGAAGAATATATTTCAGGAACAACTAGAAAGACAGCTAGGCGACCATTTAAGCGATTCCCATCCGGAGGCAGGGTGGAATGATATCAAAAAGGCTGTGGAAACAGCAGTGATGTCTGCTAGTATGGTTGATCATAAGGCTAGGATGAAGCCGTGGATCTCAGTAGCATCCACCGATCTGATGGATGCCCGAAAACTCAACTCACCTGGCTCTGAACATGATGAAGAATCAAGTCAACTTAGGCGCAGACTTATAAAAAGCCTACGTAACGATCGCGAGCAGTGGTGGGTGGCGAGAGCAAAAGCGATGGAAAAAGCAGCGGTGATCGGCCACAGTAGACAACTTTTCCGACTTATCAAGGAAACTGGTATTAGGAATCCTAGTGTAAGTGAGACTATCTCAGAAAATGACGGGACTATTATTTATTCTCAATCCAGGAGACTGAACCGATGGGTAGAACATTTTAGCGGTCAGTTCAACTGGCCTTCAGCCACACTTCGGTTACCCACGATCTCCAGTCATCCTGAATGGCAAAACGACCAACGTCCCCCTAGTTTATATGAAGCTGAGAAAGCGTTAGGAAATCTGAAGCGACGGCGAGCTGCAGGTCCTGATAGACTGACCCTGAGACATTTAAGGATGGTGGTCCAGTTTTAGCAACCAGATTGACTGAGATCTTAGGTAGAATCTGGGAACCGGACGTAATCCCATCCGAGTGGTCTCAATCACTGATTGTCCCAATCTATAAGAAAGGACAAAAGTCTTCTTGTGACAATCACAGGGGAATCAGTCTAACTAATATAGTAGCTAAAATATTGGCCTCAGTAATACTTCGACGGTTAACGAAAGCTCGTGAAGAGCAGACTCGAGAAAACCAGTCTGGTTTTCGACCTGGACGTGGTTGTATAGACCACATTTTCACACTACGACAGGTCCTGGAACACAGACACACATTTAGGCGTCCTACGATAGTTGTTTTCCTGGACCTTAAGGCGGCATTTGACTCAGTGGATCGTGAGGTTCTGTGGCAGTGTCTGTCATTGAAGGGTGTACCAAAGAAGTACATTAACCTCATACAAGCTCTCTACTCGAACACCACTAGTCGAGTGACAGCTTATGGCGAACTGTCATCGGAATTCTTTACTTCAAGTGGTGTCCGTCAGGGATGTCCACTTTTGTTTAATTTTATCATAGACACGCTCCTAGAAATAACCTTATCCTCACCTCAATTTTCAGTAGACCTTCTACCAGGTGGCTCGCTTATTGACTTAGAATATGCCGATGACATAGCTCTATCTATTGATGACGCTGAAAAAATGCAGAGTCTTCTGACCACCCTAAGCAACAATGCAAGCATGTTCGGGATGCGGTTCTCACCCTCGAAATGCAAAATGCTGCTTCAAGATTGGGTTTCATCAGCACCTGAACTAGTGATAGGGAGTGAAGTAGTCGAACGTGTAGACCGCTTCACTTATCTTGGGAGTCTCATCAGTGCTGATGGCCTGGTGACTGACGAAATCTCAGCACGGATACAGAAGGCTCGATTGGCTTTTGCCGACCTGCATCACTTATGTCGTAGGCGAGATATCCGTTTGCTGACTAAAGGACGAGTGTACTGTGCAGTGGTTCGCTTCGTCTTACTTTATGGCTGTGAAACATGGCCAGTGAGAATAGAAGATTTTCGTAGATTACTGGTTTTCGATCATAGGTGTCTTCGTATATCGTGGGACACCCGAGTGAGCAACGCTGTTATTAGGAAACGGGTGCTAGGTAAGAATGGCAGATCAATAGATGAAGTGGTGAAACTTCATCAGTTGAGGTGGTTGGGACATGCATTGCGTATACCCAACCACCGATTGCCTCGTCGACCTTTGTTTTGTAGTGTAGGAATAGGTTGGAAGAAAGTTAAGGGCGGCCAAACCAAAACATGGCACAAATCCATGAAGTCATTGACGAGTGGACTTAGCCATGTCGGTAATTGTCGACTACCTGGTTGGGGTCCGCGAGATGATAATAATCGATGGTTAGAGACCTTGAATGACATGGCTCAAAATCGTTCGCAATGGCGCCGATGCATTTATTCTTTGTGTTCCCTCAAATCCTAATCTTCTGGATTCTTCAACACCTCTAGTTTTGTCTTTCTAAAGTTATCTTACTGAATCATACTTCTTGAATAATATATTCTAATCCTAACCTCTCCGACTACTTCTAATACGTTTACTTCCTCTATTACTATTGGATTTGAATTGACAATTGCATTTCTGTGCTGATGTGGTATGGCGACATGAACTGATGTACTTACGTACGAAGTTCAACGTTGCACCTGACTGACTGACTGACGTTGCCTTACGCTCCTACTGACTGCAGCTTGGATGAGGTGAAATATGGGTTTTAAAGAAAGCTTTCAGAACTCCTCAAAAATGTTAGGCGCTACGATATGGTAACAGTGGTTGGTGACTTTAATGCTAGTAGGTAGACTAAGTTGAAAGGTAAGATACTTGAGAAGATCTTGGGGTATCGTGGCTGATCAAACGGATAATGGCGACCTTCTGCTGCAGCTATGCTCACATAAGCACCTATTCCTAGCATTACTAAGTTTAAGTACAAGGAAAATTATCTTTTGATCTGGCAAATCCTAAAGTCATCGTACCGATGGAGAAGTTCGATAGAGGATCGTCTCTCGTTCTGGAGCACATGTTCAGATTCAGATCATGCTCTAGTGCGAGTACTTATTTGTTTGCGGCTTACTGAACGTAGGAGTGACACCTCAAGGAAACCTCTTCGGGTTCGACCTAATGATACCATAGCTCAGTATATATATCAGGAGCGACTAGAAAAAGTTAGGCGACCGTGTAAGTGATGCCCACACCGAGGCAGCTCGGAACGATATCCAAAAGCCTGTGGAAACATCAGTGATATCTTCTAGCAAGGTAAACCATAAGGTTAAGGAGAAGCCGTGGATCTCAGTAGCATCTACCGAACTGATGGATACTCAGAAACTCATCCCGCCTGGCTCTGAGTGCGATGAGGAGCGAAGTCAGCTTAAGCTCTGGCTGATAGAAAGCCTACGAAATGATCACGAGCAGTGGTGGGTAGCGAAAGTAAGAGAGATGGAAAAGACAGCAACCGTAGGTATCAGTAGACAACCGTTCCAATTTACCGAGGAAACCGGTATTAGAAATGAATCTGTTAGAGAAACTATCTCAGAAAAGGATGGTCTTATTACTCATTCTCAACCCAGGAGATTGGATTGATGTGCAGAACACTACAAGGATCAGTTCAGCCACACATGAGTCAGTCAGTCAAGTACAACTTCGAATTTTGAACGTAAGTACAGCAATTCAGGTTGCCATACCACATTAGTACAGAGACGCAACTACCACTTCGAATCCCACAGTTCAGCCACACTTCGGTTTCCCACGATTTCCAGTTATCCTGAATGGCGAATCGATGTAAGCCCTCTGAATCTCAACGAAGTTGAGAAAGCTATAGGAAATCTAAAGCGAGGACGAGCAGCAGGGTCTGACAGGCTAACCCAAGAGATTTTTAATGGATAGTGGTTCAGTTTTAGCAGTTAGATTGACTGATATCTTAGGTAGGATCTGGGAACTCGGCATAATCCCATCTGACTGGTCTCAATCACTGATTGTCCCAGACTAAAGTAAAGAACAGAGGTCCTCTAGTGACAATCACAGAGGAATCAGTTTAACTAATATAGAGTCTGGATTGTTAGCCTCGATAATACTTTGACGCTTAACTAGAGCTCATGAAGAGCAGACTAGAGAAAACCAGGCTGGTTTCGGATCTCATCATCATCATTATCAACAGCAACGTAGAACTTTGCACGTAAGTACAGCAGTTCAAGTTACCATACCACATTAGCACAGAGATATAATTGTCTATTCGAATCCCGTAGTAGTAGAGGTAATAAAATTATTAGAAGTAATCGGAGAGATTAGGGTTCGAAGATGTTATTCAAGAAGTTTAATTCAGTGAGGTTAATTTATTAAAAGAAGATGGAAGTATTGAGGAATTCAGAGAATTTTGAGCCATGTCATTCAGGGTCTCTAACCATCGATTATTATCATCTCGCGGACCCCAACCAGGTAGTCGACAATTACCGACATGGCTAAGTCCACTCGTCAATGACTTCATGGATTTCTGCCATATTTTGGTTTGTCCGCCCCTAGCTTTCGTCCAAGCTATTCCTATATCACAAAATATAGCTCGACGAGGCAGTCGGTGGTTGGGCATACGCAATGCATGTCCCAACCACCTCAACTGATGAAGTTTCACCACTTCATCTATTGATCTGCCATTCTTACCTAGCACCCGTTTCCTAATAACAGCGTTGCTCACTCGGGTGTCCCACGATATACGAAGACACCTATGATCGAAAACCAGTAATCTACGAAAATCTTCTATTCTCACTGGCCATGTTTCACAGCCATAAAGTAAGACGAAGCGAACCACTGCACAGTACACTCGTCCTTTAGTCAGCAAACGGATATCTCGCCTACGACATAAGTGATGCAGGTCGGCAAAAGCCAATCGAGCCTTCTGTATCCGTGCTGAGATTTCGTCAGTCACCAGGCCATCAGCACTGATGAGACTCCCAAGATAAGTGAAGCGGTCTACACGTTCGACTACTTCACTCCCTATCACTAGTTTAGGTGCTGATGCAACCCAATCTTGAAGCAACATTTTGCATTTCGAGGGTGAGAACCGCATCCCGAATATGCTTGTATTGTTGCCACGTCCAGGTCGAAAACCAGCCTAGTTTTCTCGAGTCTGCTTTCCACGAGCTTTCGTTAACCGTCGAAGTATTACTGAGGCCAATATTTTAGCTACTATATTAGTTAGACTGATTCCCCTGTGATTGTCACAAGAAGACTTTTGTCCTTTCTTATAGATTGGGACAATCAGTGATCGAGACCACTCGGATGGGATTATGTCCAGTTCCCAGATTCTACCCAAGATCTCAGTCAACCTAGCTGCTAAAACTGGACTATCATTCCTAAATATCTCAGGGATCAGTCTATCAGGACCTGCAGCTCGCCGTCGCTTCAGATTTCCTATCGCTTTCTAAACTTCATTAAGAGTTGAAGGTCCTAAGTCGATTTGCCATTCAGGATGACTGGAGATCGTGGGCAAACGAAGGGTGGCTGAAGGCGAATTGCACTGATCCGTGAAGTGTTCTTCCCATCGATCCAATCTCCTGGATAGTGTCCGAACATTGAAAACAACTATATGTAATTTAGTACAGGGTTTCAAGTGACTAGGAATAATGTTTCGTGAGCTCAAACCGCTTGCTTCAGTGGCGTTAGTTGATAAACGATCGAATGAGGGTTGGTTATTAAGAGGCGTAGACAGGATTTGATTGTGACCAATTCGGTCTCGTGTGCTTTTATGGGTATGACGGCGGTTGTTATTTTCCCAGTTGACCACACCGTGGAAGGGTGTTTCTTAAGGGACCTGAAAAGGGAGGTAGAATAGTGTTGGTCTTACCGACCTGTCGTCTGAATTTTCATGGGTTGACCTTCTGCCAGGAGACTCGTATGCCGACTTTGAATATGCTTATACAAGTGCGTATGCATAAATTCACTCCATTAGGAATAATAATTAAGTTCATGTAAGTGCTGATAGTGGCATGGCAGATAAACCAATCTGCTGATTGTGCATTTCAGAGTTATTTATCTTATTATGGGCCATTTTTAGTATATTTATGATACTTATTTGGTTGTAAAAGTTTCAGTAAAGACTGTTTTATTATTGCTCGTGAAATCTAACTCTGAATTGCAGATGTTTTCAAACTGTTCGGTCGTCAGTGTTTCCGAAGGATTTCTGGCATCCAATAGCAATACTATGTTAATGATGCTAACGTCCGATAATGTATATTCGCTAGGATAAATGTAATTCAATGGATGTTACCATCATCAAACATCAATTTGGTGACCTGGATATAGTTTACGAATGTCATTCTAGTGACTTACATTTTACGCTAAATTCATCAACGTGGGGATCAGTACAAAAATGCAGAATGGTTTTCAGTTTATAGGAGCTGTGTGATGCGAAAGTTAGCTATATAGGACCGGTTCCTTTTACTGGTCCTTCTGTAGTTTCTTTTAGATCGATTAAAATATGAGGAATCCCCCTATCTGAAAGAAATCTTTGTTAGCTGTATTTTAACCAAACTGTTCATCTTATTAAACATCTTCGATATGAATTTTAATACCTTTTCCTCCATTATTTTCTCACAAAACTATCTCTTCGTTTATGTGGCACATAATTTTTTAAGTACACCTTTCTCGGGAATTTTCGTGCTCTGTATAAACCAATGAAAACATAAGTGACATGACTCAGCCATCGGCTCTAAAATCATAACTTTAAATTCTAATTTAGCTATTCACATTTACTAAAATGAATATATCTTACATGATTAAAATTTGAAGCAATGATATATAAAGTTAACATCATTTTACGAAATTTAATAGAATTCTCGGCACATGTAGTCCATATATTTTTGAAGAGTTGTACATTTCTATCTCAGCGTTTTATCTCCGGCTCTTTTTTTGATTATCTCACTATACATAGACTCTATTCGACCAGAAAATTACAGTCCCAGGCAGCTTCTCTGCAAAAGGCGGCGGTTGTGCAGTTGCATGCAGTTATAAAGCGTCTGTTGGTTTGCTGTTTCCATTAGAAAGAGGATTTACATTCGTTCCTCGTCCTCCAATTTCTATACGTTTCGACGAAATAATAGCTGTACAATTCTCCCGTGGGACGGGTGCCCAAAGATCTTTTGATTTCGAGGTAAGTTGAGTTTCATATCTAAATTAAACTCCAGTTGTTTACATATACTTAACTGTTATAATAGAGATTTTGTTTAATGTTTTAAGAAAAAAGAGTTGGGATTGTTTTTTGCTTGAAAAATACTTGATCGGTCTATCAAAAACTCAGAACATCTTACCATCAGTAGTTTCACGCCTTGCATTTATTAGCTGTAGACGGATATGTATTTTCCATAGGTTTCCAAACATTTTCACTTAATTCAATAATTTTTATACCATTTCATTGCAGCTTTCAAAAACCTATGATTCGATAATGTTTAAGTAGTTTGATTATTTTAATATCAATGGTGTAATCTTTTTGGGTCCCATTGTTGGGGATTATTGTTCTCGTGTTGTGTGCTGATTGCTTTCTTATTAAGTACGCCATAAGACCCGTTTGTATTAGAATGTTAATCGCTCCATAATTAGCAATTCCCGTAGACTCGTACTAAACCCAAGATAGAAAAATACTGATGTATTCTGCTGTGTTGGTGTCCTTAAAAATATTTTTCGTATGTATAATCAGTAGGCTTTGAGTGTATTATTAGACCTAATTCATTTGTTTTAGGGATAAGCGACCAGTTTGCAAAAATTAACCGTGCGATCAACCAAATCAGTTACAACGTAGAACTTCGTACGAGCGTACATCGGTTCAGGTTGTCATACCGCATCAGCACGAAGATAGTAGAAGAATTACTGGTAATGGACAATATTAAGGATCGAAAATATTGTTCAAGGAGTATAGTTCATTGAGATAACTTTAGAAAGAGATGATGAGGAATTCTGAAGATTATAATTCCATAGAACACAACGGGTGGATGCACCTGCGACATTGCAAACGATTTTGAGCCATGTCGTTCAAGGTCTCTAACCATCGGTTACTTTCGTCTCGCGGACCCCAATCTGACCAAGTCCGCTTATTAGTGATTTCATGGATTTCTGCCATGTTTTGGTTTGGTCACCCCTAGGTTTCTTCCAACCTACTCCTACACCACAAAACATCTCTGATCTAGGCAGTCGGTGGTTGGGCATTCGTAATACACGTTCCAACCACCTCAACTGATGTACTTTCACTATATCAATGGATCTGTCATCCTTTCCTAGTACTCGATTCTTAACTATAGCATTGCTTTCTCGGTTGTCCCAGGATATGCGATCGATTTCTCAAAACAGGTATCATTAGAAGATTCAATTTAGTTTACACATTTCACTAGCATTTTATTTGTTTATTTCTTTTGCATATTTTTCCCATCTATAGGTGGAAACTCGTAATGGTTTAACGCATACATTTACTTCTATCGAGAGAGATGAATATCATCATTTGTACGATTTTGTAAGTGCTAAAAAACTACTTGTTAAAAATATTAATTCAGAAAATAAAACTGCTGCTAATCCTGGTGACGATGTCTGGTCATCATCCGATGAATCACATGATGCTTATATGGAGAAAGTGAAAACAGAAGCTCGAGAACGAACAGCTGAAATAGATGATGACGATGACGACGATGAAGATGACGAGGATTTCAAACCACCCGAATCTGATGGTTCTGAACTTGCAGAAGAATATGATAGTAACGTACAAACAACTACTAGTGAAGATGAGTCTGGAGACAATGATGATTCAGACGAGAACAAAAGTAATACCAGTAGTAAAAATACATATAAAAAGAAAGATAGACGAGACAGTGATAGTGATCGAGAAGAAGAAAATAGTTTATCAAGTGTAAGTAGTAATAGTGAACCTAAAGTAAAACAAAAAAAGTTTAAAGAAGAACCAAAGAGATCAACAACCAAATCACCTAAAGCTGAAACAAAACCATCGAAACGACAAACCACAAAAAAACAAAAGAAACCTAAAGATCCCAATGCACCTACCCGTTCACTATCAGCTTATTTATTATGGTTTAATGAAAATCGAGAAAAAATTGCTAAAAATTTAGGTGGACAAAATTCTGTTGCAGAGGTAGCCAAAGCAGCTGGAGAGATTTGGCGTAATATGGATAGTTCAACTAAATCAAATTATCAATTAAGAGTTGATGAATTAAAAAAGAAATATCAAGAAGATTTACGTATATATCAATCAAATTTATCATCAAATCAAGAACAAGAATTATCACCAGATTCTAGTAGTTGAATTCATAGGTGACTATTTTATTTTTGTTGAAAAAATAAAAAAAAATATATACTATATACATTAAATGTTCAATTACTTGTTTTGTTATTAAACTGAATTGGTTGATTTACTTGATTTTATACATAGATTCCTCGCTACTATCACTCATAATCTGATAATACATAAACGAATTGACAATCAGTTAATTATGATAGACAGAAAGCCTGATAATGTTGTAATGGAAAGAAAAGTATTTTCCATTCCTGGAATATAATAGGATAGTACTACTAGTCGATACTTTAGATCTTAGTGTATGACATCATACTCAGCTGCATGATTCACGATAAACAATTGAGAATTAGATGATGTACCAGACAATTGTATATTCATAAATATTAGCAGTTTATACAAGTACAGACTATAGTGAAGTCAACGGAAATCACTCATAGAAAAGAATTTACAGTGCTATATAGTGTCACAAGATTAACAAAGGTGTATTTTTTTTATTATCTTCGTTCACTGCCTAATCACATCGTACTTTTTCTGGACACAAGTACAGATGTACGTCAACCCGAGTCATCAAATAAACTCAGCTCAGCAAAAACATATTAATAAGATGAATAGTAAAAAAGTGGAAATAGTATCAATATTGAGCTTGACTGAGGAGTGAAAAATACAGTTCGAGAATTAAAAACGAAAACACGTAGGAAGGGATACTGAAGCTCAATATCTAAAAGGATATTAGGGTTAAGTACACCTATATTTCTTACTAATGTCATATAGTGTCTCTAACCACTTGTTCCACCTATCATGCAGATCCCAACCAGCCTGTCAGCATCTACTAACATGACCCTAATAATTACTAATTGTATGAACTAAAGGCAAGTCTTGGTTTGGCAGCTCATAGTTTATTTTTATCCCATAACTTCAACTATGTTGTCCCTCGAGTTAGGCGACTGTTTGTTTTACATAACCAATGGGAACTCACAACCTCAGCAGTCGATTTATCGTATTTATGTTTCTGGACTAGTCGCATGTAAATCCTGAGTGAACTGTTTTCGCTGGGCTGGCAACGTTTCTACCGTCATGAATTTATCCACTACTTATACTTATGTGTCAAGTAGACTTGCGAGATTTCCGTCTATTTTCACTAGTGTAGTTAAGTCCAAATGTCACTATCGTTATTCCGCTTTTTCTTCGCACTAGCTCTTTTCTTTTCACTTCGAGAAGCCCACAGGCTTCTCCATGTAAGGCGACGTTTAACTAACTAATACAGTTGCCTTAGGTTCTCGTTGGGGTCGTTAGATCCTCAGAATTCACTTGGGGAAGGTCACAATTATGGATTTTATGATTTTGTGCATGGGCTGGTCAATTGACCTTCAGATTGCATTTCCCACCCGGAAAATCCTTTACTGTTTTTGGTTGATGTGTTATTTTAGTATGCTATTTTCGTGGCTCTCCTGAGGACGTTTCTATCATGTATGAATAAACTCGATTTGTGTGCTTGTCAACCTCATTTTCTGGATGCTTGTAGAATACACTTGCTATGTCTTGTCAGAACCTCTTCCTCTTTATAGTGGGGCCTTGATACGCTCCGATTAAAGTAGCCTATTGTGTCGCTGGGTCATTTGTCTTCGCTCTCTTCAATCGACTAAGGTGAACTCGTTATAGTTTCGAGCATATCAATTGACGTGCATAACAGTTCTTCTGGAATACACCTTATTACTAAACCGCTCAACTAGTGGTTGAAGTATTCCGGTGAAGTTGTTCAGAATCCGTTGCGATTTGGCAGGTGTATCCATTCTTAATATTCGTCTAGATAGTGAGTTCTAGTGTTCCAGTATACGCTTCCATTTCTACTTCTCAAACCATATTCCCTTTTCAATTCTCACTAATATTATTATGGTTGTAACAGTGCGGATGTTGAAGTGAGAATCTTAAGTACTATTTTACGGATAATGTGGATTTTTACCGAATAATTAATAAATCACGATAAATATACTTCTGTAATCCTCGTATTGTAAGCTCCAGTTCGACTCATCAACTTGTTACCTTATGCCTATTAACCTAATGGAGCAAAGGGTCACCGACCGGCATTCAATAATCTACTCTGTCCTGGTCCTTCCTTTTTAGTTCTACCTAATTGCTGTTTATTCTGCCTGTCTCGGATCCTCACGTAATATATTCTCTGGTCTTCCTCCTCTCTGTCGGCCTTGAAGATTACGGATGAGGGCTTGTTTTGTGACGCAGTTGGATGCTTTCCTCATCGTCTCATATTTACCTTCTCAGTTGAAAACTAGTTTCTCTAGCACAGTAGGTTGTTTCTGATGTTGCTCGGCCAACGAATACGAAGTCACTTGCGTCGACAACTATTTATGAATACTTGTATCTTATGCGCAATGGCGTTCGTGGTCACCCAAGTTCCCACTCCATAACCACAGAACTGTTTTGACGTTCATATTAGAAATTCCGACTTGTTAATAATTGGTTGTTTTGACTCATAGATTCTGTTCAATTGTAGAAGTGCTGTCCTTGCTTCACCAACCCCTAAGTTCATATCGACAAAAGACACACCTTGTTCATCAATGTCAGTCAGTCAGATGCAACGTTGAACTTCGTACGTAAGTACATCAGTTCATGTCGCCATACCACATCAGCACAGAAATGCAATTGTCAATTCAAATCCAATAGTAGAAGAGGTAGTAAAGGTATTAGAAGTAGTCGGAGAGGTTAGGATTAGAATATATTATTCAAGAAGTATGATTCAGTAAGATAACTTTAGAAAGACAAAACTAGAGGTGTTGAAGAATCCAGAAGATTAGGATTTGAGAGAACACAAAGAATAAATGCATCGGCGCCATTGCGAACGATTTTGAGCCATGTCATTCAAGGTCTCTAACCATCGATTATTATCATCTCGCGGACCCCAACCAGGTAGTCGACAATTACCGATATGGATAAGTCCACTAGTCAGTGACTTCATGGATTTATTCCATGTTTCGGTCTGGCCACCCCTAAGTTTCTTCCAATCTGCTTCTACACTACAAAACACAGCTCGTCGCGGCAGTCGGTGGTTGGGCATACGCAATACATGTCCCAACCACCTCAACTGATGAAGTTTCACCACTTCATCTATTGATCTGCCATTCTTACCTAGCACCCGTTTCCTAATAACAGCGTTGCTCACTCGGGTGTCCCACGATATACGAAGACACCTATGATCGAAAACCAGTAATCTACGAAAATCTTCTATTCTCACTGGCCATGTTTCACAGCCATAAAGTAAGACGAAGCGAACCACTGCACAGTACACTCGTCCTTTAGTCAGCAAACGGATATCTCGCCTACGACATAAGTGATGCAGGTCGGCAAAAGCCAATCGAGCCTTCTGTATCCGTGCTGAGATTTCGTCAGTCACCAGGCCATCAGCACTGATGAGACTCCCAAGATAAGTGAAGCGGTCTACACGTTCGACTACTTCACTCCCTATCACTAGTTTAGGTGCCGATGCAACCCAATCTTGAAGCAGCATTTTGCATTTCGAGGGTGAGAACCGCATCCCGAACATGCTTGCATTGTTGCTCAGGGTGGTCAGAAGACTCTGCATTTTTTCAGCGTCATCAATAGATAGAGCTATGTCATCGGCATATTCTAAGTCAATAAGCGAGCCACCTGGTAGAAGGTCTACTGAAAATTGAGGTGAGGATAAGGTTATTTCTAGGAGCGTGTCTATGATAAAATTAAACAAAAGTGGACATCCCTGACGGACACCACTTGAAGTAAAGAATTCCGATGACAGTTCGCCATAAGCTGTCACTCGACTAGTGGTGTTCGAGTAGAGAGCTTGTATGAGGTTAATGTACTTCTTTGGTACACCCTTCAATGACAGACACTGCCACAGAACCTCACGATCCACTGAGTCAAATGCCGCCTTAAGGTCCAGGAAAACAACTATCGTAGGACGCCTAAATGTGTGTCTGTGTTCCAGGACCTGTCGTAGTGTGAAAATGTGGTCTATACAACCACGTCCAGGTCGAAAACCAGACTGGTTTTCTCGAGTCTGCTCTTCACGAGCTTTCGTTAACCGTCGAAGTATTACTGAGGCCAATATTTTAGCTACTATATTAGTTAGACTGATTCCCCTGTGATTGTCACAAGAAGACTTTTGTCCTTTCTTATAGATTGGGACAATCAGTGATTGAGACCACTCGGATGGGATTACGTCCGGTTCCCAGATTCTACCTAAGATCTCAGTCAATCTGGTTGCTAAAACTGGACCACCATCCTTAAATGTCTCAGGGTCAGTCTATCAGGACCTGCAGCTCGCCGTCGCTTCAGATTTCCTAACGCTTTCTCAGCTTCATATAAACTAGGGGGACGTTGGTCGTTTTGCCATTCAGGATGACTGGAGATCGTGGGTAACCGAAGTGTGGCTGAAGGCCCGTTGAACTGACCGCTAAAATGTTCTGCCCATCGATCCAGTCTACTGGATTGAGAATGGATAATAAGACCATCCTTTTCCGAGATAGTCTCACTCACATTCGGGTTCTTGATACCAGTTTCTTTAATAAGGCGGAAAAGTTGTCTGAGGTTGCCTATCGCCGCTTCCTTTTCCATCGCTTTTGCTTTCGCCAACCACCACTGTTCGCGGTCGTTACGCAGACTTTTTATGAGTCTGCGCCTAAGCTGACTACGCTCTTCATCATGTTCAGTGTCAGGTGGGATGCGTTTTCGGGCATCCATCAGTTCGGTGGATGCGACTGATATACACGGCTTCATCCTAGTCTTATGGTTTACCTGCTCTTTCCACAGCCTTTTTGATATCATACCAACCTGCTTCTGGATGAGAATCGCTTGCATGGTTGCCTGGCTGTCTTTCTAGTTGTTCCTGAAATATATTCTTCGCTCTATTATAATTAAGTAAATTCCTAAGAGGGTTGCTTACGGTGACTTTCCTACGTTCAGTAAGCCTCAAACATATACGAGTTCGCACTGGGGCATGATCTGAATCTAAACATGTGCCACAGAACGAACGACAGTCCTCTATCGAACCCCCTCCATCTGTGGCTGATGGCACTGTGATCCAGTTGGGTCCAACGTTGAGACGACTTCGGGAGTCGCCAGGTGAACAGATGCTTTTCCTTATGCCTTCAGTTGGTGTTCGCTAAGAATAGGCAGTTATCTGAGCATAGTTGCAACAGACGGTCGCCATTTTCTGTTCTCTCAGTCGCTACACCATAACATCCACCTAGATGTCTTTCATTTTCACCTAGTCTACCTACTTGAGCATTAAAGTCACCAGCCATTATTACTATATCAGAGCGCCTAGCTTTTTGGAGGAGGTCCGAAACCTTTCTGTAAAACTCATCTTTAACCTCGTCTGCACTCCAGTCAGTGGAGGCATAGGCAGATATGACGAAGAGGCAACGGCGAGTGTCCCTATCCTTACGAGTCCTTACTGTCCGGTTTAGTCGGACAGCACACAAACGACTATCTACTGGGATCCATTGTTCATCAATCATGGTGTCCAGATACGTAAAGGTTTAAACATTTCGCGAAGCTACTTCACCAAGTGTGATTCGGTTGGTGCATGTTGTGTTGTATCAGAGAATCGTACCTTTTCCTTTGTGTATGTTGAGACTTACTGCTGTTGAAGCTGCTGCAACACTGGTTGTCTTCTCCTGAATTTGTGGTTGTGTGTGAGATAGAAAAGCCAGGTCATCTGTGAAGTCTAGATCGTCCAGCTGTCCGCTGTATTCAGTGCATTCCCCGGAATGTTGACGTTCACATAATCCAGTCAATCATCAGTAGAAAAGATGAGAGTAAGCAACCTTGTCTGAGTCTGTGAGCTGCCCTGCATGCGTCTTTGCAATTTAATCCATCGTAAGAATTCCGTATGAAGTCGACTAGCTTCTCAAGTACCTCATAGTGTCATTCTGTCCGTGCGGTCGAATGCTTGCTCGTAGTCAACAAGGTTGAGGTAGAATTCCCTTCAATTGGTTGTTTTACAATGATCCGTAGTGTCGTGGTTTAGTCAGTATACGATTGATCCTTACGGAATCCAGCTTGTTAACTTTGAAGTTTGGCCGTCTACGGAGTCCTTCATTCTGCTTAAAAAGACTCCGTTAAAGACTTTTCCTGGTATTCAGAGAGTAGTGATGCCTCTGTAGTCCTTACACTTGCTGAGATAGCCTTTCTTTGGTATCTTGATGAAATGTCCTTCTTTCCAGTCTTGTAGTACTTGTTCTGCATCCCAAACCTTGCTGAAGGGAATGTGGGGCATCTTCGCAGTTACTTCCACGTCCGCTTTCATTGCCCCTGCTGGAAAGTTGTCTGGTCCCGCTGCTTTTCTGCTCTTGATTTGTATGATGGCTATGCTGGTCGACTTGGTTCTGTACATTGTGATCCGGTGAAAGGGGAATACATTTGCAGGCGATTTCGGGATATCGAAAGAATACCGAAATCGGCGAAGATACAGCGAGTAGTATAATCAAAATGGCAGCCACACAAACGGAAAGTTTGCGCGTAAAGAGTACGAATAAACAGAGTACAGTAAAAAAATCACTGATACAATTGGTTATAATAGTGAGGGTTTACAATAAACCAATCTCGTTCTCTTCATAAAAGTAAAGTCACTGCAATATCTCCATATCCTATGTTGTCCATTCCAACATTGGTATTTAGTTCTCTCATCATTAGTCAAGTCCTTTGATGAGCATTTCTCGACGATTGACTGAAGTCTCCCGTAGAATTCATCTTTAACGTTTTCATTGGTAGGCTCATAGCATCGGATGACGTTCATTATGATACCCTCTTTCTTGGTTTTGAAGGATGCTTCGACGATCCTGGGTCCATGAGACTCCCATCCTATCAGTGCATTTTGTGCTTGTTTGGACATCATTGGTGCAACTCCTTTTGCGAGGATTTTCTTGTTTATGGCTGGAGTATAACAGCAGCTCTCCTGAAGCTAGTCTTTGTTGTCCAACCTGAGTCCACTAAGTTTCGCTTATTCCAAGTAGCATCGTGCTGTATTTTTTCATTTCCTCAGTGGTTGTTTCGGTCTGCTTCAATGTACGGACATTTTATGTATTTACATTAGTGGTCGGTGTAGCCTCGTGACCTCCGAAGAAACTTGACTTCCATCATGAGACGTCATAACTCTTCTAAATGAACACCTACAAACTTCCAGAGTAGAGTTTAAATGGTTTGAATTATTCGTTCTGGTTAGCTTTCTACAGGATTGTGTCGCTAGCCTCATTCCAGATGGTCTTCCTTTTTTTCCGGGATTTGGATAGGCATTAACTTTAAAAGGGCTCACTACCTATTGCAATACATTTTACGATTCTTTTATTGTTGTGAATAAATTACTTGTTGTTTATTTCATTCTGTGCCACTTTAGACTAGATTATATATGGGCTATAATTCCTGATATGTAACATATTATAGTCTGATAATCACATGTATAAACTGATGAGAATTTGAGTTATAATGACTAATTGAGTGAATAGGAATGGAAGCTTATCTACCACTGTTCTCTTCTGAACCGAGACGAGTTAAAATTACCTGGAAGATAGCTCAAAGGTTATTACTGTCGGTCAAAAAAAATCTAAAGGAACTCAATAAGTATTTTAACTCGCTGTGCTGATATGGTATGGCGACTTGGTCTGATGCACATTTATGCCAAACTGTACATTGATTTAGAACAATTGTTATCAAATATAGACGGGATATTTTATTAGTAAATGAAAAAATTTATCAGTAAAGGGTTGTGAAGTGGAGTTTCACTGAAATCATGAACTAATCAATGTTAGAAGCCTCGGATGGCCGTTTTATCCCAGTATAGGACTCATCAGCAGTGTGTATTTACAATTCATGAGGCAGTAATAGGACTTCAGACTCGCGCGTGAACATTCAACTTCTTGACGACTGAATCGGCATCTAACAGTGTTGATGTCTAACTTTAATCAACCTGAAAATGGCGCAAACACCATCCATTGTTTTGATGGGTAACCTTCTCAAAATTAACACGACTGAACTCCACTGTTCTCGCTAGAAATCTGAAAATTTCTTTACAAAGCAAGTTAATAGAGAGCACATGATAATTATCAGTAAGGGGTCCATGATTTCAATGTAACTCAAGAATCCACAGTGGGATACAACCGTGTCGAGTGTCAGGCAGTTAGTTACCCAACGAACCAATAGATGATAACTTGCACCATTCGTGGGTTGATTGAAGTTAGACATTAACACAGATAGATGCCAGCTCAGTCATCAAGAAGTTTAACGTCCATGCGCGAAACAGAAGGTCTTCGATTTGATCACCGCTTGATGAGTTCCATACGGATAAAACGGCCGCCCGAAACTTCCAGTGGTGCTCTAACATAAAAATATTCATTGTGCAAAAATGCTTGATTATGGTGTAAGTTACCGAATATATAATGCAATATAATGCAATACATTAAAAGGAGTAGGGTAAGAAAATGAGTATATAGAATAAATTATGAGTGATTGTGTCTGAAGAATACACTCAAAAAAACTGCAAATAGATTTTAGGTGGTTCTTTAATGACCAAAAAACTGTAATAAAATAGTATTATTAAATACTTGTGCATTGAAAGAAATTGACATTTGTTATGATCGCTCCAACCAATACCTTCGATGTGAACAAAAAGCATAATATTGATGCGAATGTGAAAAAAAAGTATTGCTCAGAGGAAAACACAAATTCTCACTGCAAATAATCTCGATAAACTGATAAATAGATAATCAAAAAAGTCATTCTATACATTTCATTTAAACACATAATTTATGTGAACGACAAACTCGTCCACATTTTAAGGGGCATAAATCTTTTTCATAAATAGCTTCCCAATGTGAATGATATGGTCGAAATAATTGACAAAGAAATGCTTCTAAGATAGTATGTACAAATCTACGATTAAAACGTTCTTCTTGAAGCAAACTAAATACACAAGATACACCACGACGAGTTGTTTCATTTCCGAGAAATTGCGCGAGTTCTTCTATAAAATAATAACGAAAAGTATCTGCTTACAATGACTAAATTGCTATATCAGTAAATAAACAATAAAGTATCATATTATTGACAATCGAGAATTTTCTGTCATATTCGTAGTCAGAAAAATATCATTGAAATCTGACTCAGTCGTATAGTGCTTGTAAAGATACTTAAACAATTCAGAGTTCGCTCGCGCTTGAAGTTGAAGAGATACAGACTGGTGACTATCCGCTGTACGCTACTTTCCAAAGATAATACAGATAATACTACTTAATCAGTCAGTCAGGCAGTTACAACGTAGAACTTCGTACGTACGCACATAAGCCCAAGTTAGCACATTAGCACAGAGACGCAACTGTCAGTTCAAATCCCATAATAGTCGGGGTGGTATAAGTACTAACGGTAACGCAGGAGGATGTTCGAGGATATTATTCTAAAAGTACAATTCAATGAAATAAATTTAAAAGGAGAGAGATAGAAGTGATGAGGAATCCAGAAGACTGGAATTTGAGAGGACACAAAGAATGAATGCACCTGCGCCATTGCAAGTGATTTTGAGCCATGTCGTTCAAAGTTTCTGACCATTGGTTACTATCATTTTGCAGACCCGATCCAGGTATTCTACACGAACCAATATGGCTCAGTCCACTTATCAACGACTATATGGAGGTAGCTGCCCGGAGGTGAAACACATGTCTCAGAAACTGAACTGATGAACATTCAACGCTTCACCAACTGATCGGTCATCCCTACCTAGTACCCGTCTCCTAACACCACCACTCCTTAGTCGATGTTCCCTAACACTACTAGTGTCTATCACACACCGACCTAGTAGTGTATACTTACAAACATGACTCCAATAGTCAGTGACTGAATCACCAAAGACACTCCCCACAAGCTAACACTACAACGTGAACAGTACAGCTCAATCCTGTGGTGCAACCACACAGGTACCTGGCACCCCTGGTGGACCGTTCACACCATCTATATACACCAATATATATAGTGATAATTACTGATCTATTATCGCGTTAATCAATTTGAACCATCCCGCTTACATGACTGTCAAACTCACTATTATTAGCAATGGTGATAAGCAATACAGCACTCCAATGACAATGGCCCTCGAGAATGTTGCAAGACAACCACTAGTATCAATGAAATCGGTTACCCTATAAACCAAATTTATATATAGACTATTATCAAAACTCGCCAAAATAATGCCAAACCATTTACAGTATTCACAACAAACCTCTGTTTGGTCTCACAGACACAACACTTAATATTTATACATTCCTTGTGTACTACTACTACTACTACTACTACTACTACTACTCGGTTTTGAGCTGATACATGATTTTAGTTTGATAGTTTAATGAATAACAACTAGCTTTTTCCGTGGTATTAGGTAGATGGTTGGTGTTCAATTGTGTAACTGAAAATTCATATGGTTTAACGATTAATTTACAGTCTGTCAATGAATGATTGATGAAACTTAAAGCTTTTCGTTTCAAATTTACGAAACAAACTTTTAGCCACGATTTATGATTAAGGTGTTCAATTTTCACTCACTTTAGTCACAAGTTTATAACTCATTCTATCTAATTCTGTTTAAATAGTTGAATAATAAATTTCACTTACTCAGGGTGTACACAGACCTATGCACGTGTCGTCGAATATCAATGTTAAACATTATGTAATTAAAATCTATAGAATTTACAATTCCATCGTTATATTTTTAGTGTGGTCGTATCGCTGAACTCAAATTACCATCAAAAATAGCATTTAATAATATGAGTCCTGAATTTTTAGCGCAACGTCGACGTGGACTTAATTCCTATTTGAATGTAAGTTTAACATTATTAAATTCTAATAAATATCAACTGTTCAGAATTATACGGACTATTGGAGTAATTTCATGATAAAACTGAATCAAATACATTCATTACAATTCTAAATTCTTTTTAAAATTCAGATACAAAATCCAGTATTACTCAAATACAAGATAGAGGGTAGAAAACATTTAATTGCAACCTAATAATTGCATAATATCATGTGCTTACTTTGAGAACTACTTTTAATCCTTTTATAGTTTAGAAAATTTGGATACATCAAGAGAACAAAGCATAGTTGTGATTATAATTCAACGTTTTTTTACGCTTTGAGGCAACTAGGAATTTAACGTTTAACAGATCCCTTTAATTAGTAAAATATATGCATGATAATCTTCAAAATTTGTTAAAATACCATAGTTAATTTTAAAAGTTGTCCACAATAATTTGGTTTATTCATTTGTCAATATTTGATATATCCCTCAATAGAAGATTAATTTACAAGTGGTTATACGAAAAATTGCATGTCTAAATGTTTGCAATTTATCAGCACAGTTATCGAATGTCTTAATGTTAATCGTTCGCCTTAACACCTGATGCTTTTTAAAATTAATCTTCAGTGTCATTGTTTTTTTGCTTTCTTACTGTTTAAGAACTTGTTGATAAGATATGACGAATAAAAGTAAAAAGAAAAAACAAAGATCATTGGACACCGTGAAACGATCATTTTCATCGTGACTTAGTTATCCTTAACCAGCCGAGCTATATCGGCTGGAACATTTGTTCCTATAGGTTCTATCATGCAAGGTAAGTCGACTGGAGAACATTGAAACTAAAAGCAGTAACTCAAGGTATACACATAGATGGAAAATCTCATCATCAGTAACCCATCATTCGTAGCGTAAGTACAGATTGCATTGATGTCACTAGTATGCTTTAATTTTAATCATTGTAGTACCATAATTATTAGAGCTTGAGGAAATGATTGAAAACAACTAATTGTCTCATTATTCTCAGTTTCTGAATATACAAATATAATAAAATGAGAAAATGTTTAGGATATTAAAAGGTAATTTGTCAAGTTTGCAACTTGATACAACTAATACTGAATAGAGCGTTTGAAAATGAAACTAGTAGAACTATTTGTCAAACAGAAAATAAATAGCCGAAAGAAAACAGAAGCATTTATACCAGTAAGTGTCAAGATCAAGATGTGCAGGGAAATCATGTGTATATATAGTTTCTCGTATAGAATAAAAGTATCATTATAACCGTCTAGGCCACAGACAGCGATATTACGCAATTACCCGACCACCGTACGTCACATCGATCGATATTCATGAAATTCCATCAGGTTGTGATTGGATGAAATCTCTTCGGTTTCTTGAGAGACTCTGGATGCCTCATAGCACCTTCTTAAAGCCAACCCAATAGTAATAATCAATATAATGTGAATCAATGCAACTGATTGTTACAATTGTGAAGTTTGTAATTTCTTTGTGTCTTTAAAACTAAAAGTTTATAACTTATTGAAAAGTACAGTACAACTAAACTCATCGACAAATCTATCTTTCTAACAATAAAAATGAAAAATTGAAACAGATATTGGTCATCTTTGGTAGTTAAGAAATTTTCTTTTAAAATAACATGAATAATGAACTTTCGAACTAAACATCACTAAATATCTGACATTAACTCTGAGAAATACTAATATATTTATAAAAAGTGGGTAAATAAGCGAGGTAATTGTAATCTGTGCATTATAATTACGACAGACATCAATACTATTTTTTTAGTCTCCATCTTCCATTAAGAACAATTTGGAAAAGGTTTAAATTTATGAGTCTTATTGCAAAAAGCACAGGGTGCAGATGCAGTCAGTCGGATTAAAGGGACTAAACAAAGTAGAAAGAAACATGAATTGTATCTTTGAAATAATGTGAATATATGGAACAAAAATATTTCACTTACCAGAAACACTGCCTAATAGTACAGTTCTACACAAAACACGAGTACGTAATTTCATCTCTTTGTCACGTTCAGTTAAACTTGTAGTATTTGATGAATGCTTTTTGGGAGGCCAGAAATAATCACGCAAATAAATGACTAATTGAGTGATCTTTGGTGCACTTGTCCATGCACAAGCCTATTTTTAAAACAAACAAACAAAATACTGAATAGTGAGAAAGACAAGCAATCATGTTTGACTATATAAATTAACATAAAAATCATTGATGAGATCGATATTCGTAATAGATGAATTGCGGCTAACAATTGAATCCAGGATGAGTGTTTCAACGTAGTTAAGACTCGTCAGCTGGATAGTATCTGTATCCAACTGTTGATAAGGAAATAACACAATGCAGAAATCAACTCAACATTGAAAATACTCGACTTTTAAAAACTGGGCTGTAATGCTTGAGACCCATTTACACTTGTGAGGATAGGTTTAACAACATCCATACAAAGTGGGATTTAGAGTAAAGCTGTTAAATATGAACATCATCATTGAAATACGATGAAGATACAAACTACAAAGAATAAATCTGTTGCAGTGTTTAGCATTTATCAGCATGCAAACATAATAATGATATCTCATTGCTAACTCTATACATGAATCTACATAAAACAATTATTGTGTACACAGCCGTAAGGAGTTTCCCTCGCACAACCAGCATCTGCAGTAATGCCGCCTCACAAGGAAGGGGTAGGTTAGAAAAGGTCGAACCTAAAAAGGGTCACACCTCACGGATTTCCTTCTTCGGCGGTAAGGCCTTTTAGAAAAAAGCGGAGCCAACACTTTGAAAACTACGCACAAAAAGGCCGTACGTGACAGGCCTCAAGCAGTTGTCCCTTGGGCTCTGCCGTTAGGCTCTCAGGTCTCCAAGATCAACGCTGATAAACCTTTCTTTTCAAAGTCCTCCAGAAACACCATCTCACTACGTGAGCAGCCCGGAAGTGACAACCTCCCTCAAACCCATAACAATACATGAGACCGAATCGGACAAAATCAAATCCTTCCTATACCTCCTAACATTCTTTTATCAACCCGCACCGCTAATGTAATCGACTCAAGTTAACGGACCGTTATTCCCGGTCTCCTGAAACCCCGTCCTAAACTACATTTTAGGGCTTTCAATGTTCTAACCGTGTGTCAAATCGGTCGTCAGGCTTTATTAGCCTGGACTCTGGAATCTCGTGCCATCGATGTATGTTGCGTCTCCGAAACGCGCACACAAGCGATTAATTTGACTTCACCTTTTTCACATAAAGAACCAACTCGGTTTACGCTTCGTGTATCTGGAAGCCCTGATGCTGCTTCCCGTGGCCTCGCTTGTGTAGGTATGGCATTGAGTAGTAGTACGGCAGAACTAGAGCAAGCGCTTATTTATTTGCGGTTACTGGACGTAGAAAAAACACTGCAAACAAACCCCTCAGGCTTCTACTTAATGATAGCATAGCTAAGAATATATTTCATGAGCAACTCGACGAACAGTTAGGTAGCGATGTAAGTGATGCTCACCCTGAGGCAGCCTGGAATGATATGAAAAACGCTGTGAAAACACCAGTGGCATTGGTATTGAGTATTATCGAAAACGCTGTGAAAACAGCAGGCGCAGGCGCGATATTCGTCTGCTAACCAAAGGACGAGCCTACTGCGCAGCAGTTCGCTCCATCCAACTATATGGTTGCGAGACATGGCCAGTAAGAGTAGAGGATATTCTTAAGTTACTGGTTTCTGACCACAGGTCGCTTCGAAGCATTGGTCGTTCATTTGGTAACTATCGAGTAAGCAATGCTGTCGTTAGGAATCGAGCACTAGGTAAGAATGGCAAATCAATAGATGAGATGTTGGAACTTCGTCAGTTAAGGTGGTTGGGACATGTATTACGAATGCCCAACCACCGACTGCTTCGATGAGAGATGTTTTGTGGTGTAGGTCAGGTTGGAAGAAAGCTAGGGGAGGCCAGACCAAAACATGGCAGAAATCCATGAAGTCACTGACAAGTGGACTGAGACAGGTTGGTAGATGTAGGCTAACTGGTTGGGGTCTGCGAGACGATAGTCACCGATGGTTAGAGATCTTGAATGACATGGCTCAAAACCGTTTGCAGTGGCGCAGGTGCAGCCATTCTTTGTGTTCTCTCGAATCCCAATCTTCTGAATTCCTCACGACCGTTGTTTCTCTTTTTTAACTGGTTCCTCTGGGATATACATCTCGAATGATATATTCGATCAATAACCTTTCAAATTACTACTAATACCTCTACAACTATGGGATTTGAATTGATAATTGCGTCTCTGTGCTAATGTGGTATGGCAACATCAACTTATGTATGTACATACAAATTTCGACGCTGTAACTGACTGACTGACTGTGTACACATCATTCAAGAAAAGTCATTGGAAACCATCACAAATGCGAGGGTATATATATAGATATCTCTACTCACTTTAGAAATGATCATTTTATTAACTCTAATACCGAAGAATGTTTGAAATATTTTACGCAAAATAGCGAAATTCCCTTGCCTGGTAAATTGACTTTCTCTTTGTAAATCGAAGATTTCGTCGACTAATGAAAATAAAATTTGAATTGGTGTTTCATCTCGAGCATTCTATAGAAATATTAACACAAAACAAATGAACAATGTAATATGTAGAGTGAACTGGAGTTTTTAAAGCTCGACTGGGTATTTTTGAAATTGAATTAAAAATTAGAACGATTCACAATCACAGAAGTAGATTAGATTTAGGACTTAAACAATATATTGCACGACTAACTGTTATGACAAAAAATCCAACTTTAAATTGGCAATGCTACTACAGTTTGAATAGGTATGTGATACACACTTCATTAGATATGTAGACCAGTGACACTCGAATCGATTATCTAATCAGATGACCAAGAGAAAGCTTATAGGTTAAAAGAGGTATGCTGACGAACATAAACAGCAGTAAACTAGTGGAACAAAACTGACATCAGTTTTACACATAAGTTATCCTCCTGTATTCAGTGAAAACGGATATATTTGTCTGTACTGATTACTCAACAGGGTCAAGTGTGATCAATAAATAACATGTGACATATTAAGAACGAATAGTAAATTTTGGTAAAGGGTGAATAGGAATGCACTGAACTAGTTATCATCAGTTATTAGTTGTTTGCTGTGTACTTCTTCATTTTGGTTTGAGAAGCACAGCTATTCTAAATGATAGCTTATGTTAATGGACGGCAAGGATTTTAATCCTCAGGGAGCTGCAGATACCATTTGGGAGTGTTTCTTTTGGAAACCTTGTTGATCAAGATTAGTTGGCCCATTTTTTTCAAATGTAGAGCTTAAGTACTTTTATTAACTCAATTTAATTGTGACTACCAGTGAAAAACAGATTATGTGCTCGATTTTATTTGTAACTAATCAAATAAATCCTAATGTTAATACGGACTAGAAGTCAGTACATGCCATACTAATGAAGACTCATCAGATGCAGTTTTCAATTTTTATTTAGCCGTTGATATTTTCTTAATCGATACATTCATGTGCTACTTTGTAATTTTCTTATATATTATGGCGTAATCCACCAATTTTAAAGAAACGGATCAGCCAAAAGATTGATTTTTCAACGTCACACACAATGAAACTTCAACATCAAACTTGAATAAATTGAGTGTCTATTTATTATTATTACCTTTTTTATATAATTTAATATTTACATTAGAATTCTTATTTGGATACAAATACAATTAAGAAAATTGGAGAGTGTTCAATTCTTATTATTTAAATAAACAGTTAATCTACAATCAGGAAGAAAGTAACAGTAATGTGGTGATATAAAGTTAGTTGTCTAACTTACACTCATGACGATCAGTCAAAACAATCTATAAACAAAAGAGAACTGATTACTAGTTGGAAGTTCAATCAAATGACTAAGAATGTGATTTGCAGTAACATGAAAGGTTTTCTCTTAACTTAAAGTATCACTGACATACGTACACATACATGGAAAAGTATTGAAAATCAATAAACGATGTACACACTGTATTAAACGATACACTCACATAATCGTATGAATCCGAATTCTTCGATGATTCTAACGGCATATCCAATGCTTCTTGCAATTCAAAGTCACTTGATTTTTTCATCAACTCATCATTACGAGAAATGTTGGGTGAACTGGATGTTGAAAGATTTTTATTAGCAAAAATTTTATTTAAACCATCAGCTAATGTATCGGGAACAGACATTACAGCGTTGCTAACTGTACGAAAAGGTGTTAAAATTGCAGAAACCTATGACAAATAATCAAACATAAAAATACATTACAACTTATTTCCTTGAGTTACTGACAAGATAATGTCGTTTGCGCTAACATTTAATGAAGAATATAAACGTATATATCGAATTCCTAATAATAATAATAATAGTAATAGTAATAATAATAATAATAATAATAATAATAATAATAATAATAATAATAATAATAATAAGAAGAAGAAGAAGAAGAAGAAGAAGAATTGAATGTATGATTTCGACAAGTAATTATTGTAGTTAGTCAGTCTAAATCTCTGTGCGTAAAAATTAATGCAACTCAATGACAACGGAATAGAAATTCGAGCACCTGACATTCAATTCCCAGTGGAATAAATAGGTTCACAGTTGTTAGTAAGTTCGACTACTAGAACAACACAGCTGTCTTGTGATTTTTGGTTTACAATGGCTGTCTAAAATAAGGTTGCTCGGGGAAATAAAACTTAAAAATTGAGTATTAATTTGAAAACTACTATGGTGGTATAATTTGTATAGACAGTTTTTAAGCTGAATAGTTTGACAGTCTATAGAGTGATGAGATTCACACATAAGGAAGATGTTGATTTGAATGTTATTACATAAAACAGATTTGTTCACCCGTAATAATTGCCAATAAAATATGAAAACAGAAATAACAAGGAAAAAACGTTATTTAATGTAGACATTATCTGTATACAGAAATAAAAGTAACTGCAATGAATGATAGAAAAACTTACTATACGTGCTTCAACATGACCTTTTTCCCAGCTGTCAGGTTGCAGGAATTGAATACACAAAAGTCGACTACCTGGGTGATTATTCTGGAATTCAGTGCTACACAATGTCTAGAATTATTAAAAAATTAAAACAACAGAAACAACAAGAATTTAATAAAATGGTATTACACAACTAATAATATTGGCATAGAATTTTTATTTCAATAATCGTTGCATTTTTACGCATCCTTAACCTTTTTGTATGATAAAGCCTATATTTTCACTTTATCATAATAAAATTACATGATTCAAAGAAAATTAGGAGTTAACTAAAAATAGTCCAATATGATTATGAATACAACCTTAGTACCAATTAACGAACATAAGATATATATGTCTGACAACCGACCAACTCAATGTGCGATAGTGATAGGTGTCAGTCAGTCAGTTACAGCGTCGAAATTTGTATGTACATACATAAGTTGATGTTGCCATACCACATTAGCACAGAGACGCAATTATCAATTCAAATCCCATAGTTGTAGAGGTATTAGTAGTAATTTGAAAGGTTATTGATCGAATATATCATTCGAGATGTATATCCCAGAGGAACCAGTTAAAAAAGAGAAACAACGGTCGTGAGGAATTCAGAAGATTGGGATTCGAGAGAACACAAAGAATGGCTGCACCTGCGCCACTGCAAACGGTTTTGAGCCATGTCATTCAAGATCTCTAACCATCGGTGACTATCGTCTCGCAGACCCCAACCAGTTAGCCTACATCTACCAACCTGTCTCAGTCCACTTGTCAGTGACTTCATGGATTTCTGCCATGTTTTGGTCTGGCCTCCCCTAGCTTTCTTCCAACCTGACCTACACCACAAAACATCTCTCATCGAAGCAGTCGGTGGTTGGGCATTCGTAATACATGTCCCAACCACCTTAACTGACGAAGTTCCAACATCTCATCTATTGATTTGCCATTCTTACCTAGTGCTCGATTCCTAACGACAGCATTGCTTACTCGATAGTTACCAAATGAACGACCAATGCTTCGAAGCGACCTGTGGTCAGAAACCAGTAACTTAAGAATATCCTCTACTCTTACTGGCCATGTCTCGCAACCATATAGTTGGATGGAGCGAACTGCTGCGCAGTAGGCTCGTCCTTTGGTTAGCAGACGAATATCGCGCCTGCGCCTGCTGTTTTCACAGCGTTTTCGATAATACTCAATACCAATGCCACTGGTGTTTTCACAGCGTTTTTCATATCATTCCAGGCTGCCTCAGGGTGAGCATCACTTACATCGCTACCTAACTGTTCGTCGAGTTGCTCATGAAATATATTCTTAGCTATGCTATCATTAAGTAGAAGCCTGAGGGGTTTGTTTGCAGTGTTTTTTCTACGTCCAGTAACCGCAAATAAATAAGCGCTTGCTCTAGTTCTGCCGTACTACTACTCAATGCCATACCTACACAAGCGAGGCCACGGGAAGCAGCATCAGGGCTTCCAGATACACGAAGCGTAAACCGAGTTGGTTCTTTATGTGAAAAAGGTGAAGTCAAATTAATCGCTTGTGTGCGCGTTTCGGAGACGCAACATACATCGATGGCACGAGATTCCAGAGTCCAGGCTAATAAAGCCTGACGACCGATTTGACACACGGTTAGAACATTGAAAGCCCTAAAATGTAGTTTAGGACGGGGTTTCAGGAGACCGGGAATAACGGTCCGTTAACTTGAGTCGATTACATTAGCGGTGCGGGTTGATAAAAGAATGTTAGGAGGTATAGGAAGGATTTGATTTTGTCCGATTCGGTCTCATGTATTGTTATGGGTTTGAGGGAGGTTGTCACTTCCGGGCTGCTCACGTAGTGAGATGGTGTTTCTGGAGGACTTTGAAAAGAAAGGTTTATCAGCGTTGATCTTGGAGACCTGAGAGCCTAACGGCAGAGCCCAAGGGACAACTGCTTGAGGCCTGTCACGTACGGCCTTTTTGTGCGTAGTTTTCAAAGTGTTGGCTCCGCTTTTTTCTAAAAGGCCTTACCGCCGAAGAAGGAAATCCGTGAGGTGTGACCCTTTTTAGGTTCGACCTTTTCTAACCTACCCCTTCCTTGTGAGGCGGCATTACTGCAGATGCTGGTTGTGCGAGGGAAACTCCTTACGGCTGTGTACACAATAATTGTTTTATGTAGATTCATGTATAGAGTTAGCAATGAGATATCATTATTATGTTTGCATGCTGATAAATGCTAAACACTGCAACAGATTTATTCTTTGTAGTTTGTATCTTCATCGTATTTCAATGATGATGTTCATATTTAACAGCTTTACTCTAAATCCCACTTTGTATGGATGTTGTTAAACCTATCCTCACAAGTGTAAATGGGTCTCAAGCATTACAGCCCAGTTTTTAAAAGTCGAGTATTTTCAATGTTGAGTTGATTTCTGCATTGTGTTATTTCCTTATCAACAGTTGGATACAGATACTATCCAGCTGACGAGTCTTAACTACGTTGAAACACTCATCCTGGATTCAATTGTTAGCCGCAATTCATCTATTACGAATATCGATCTCATCAATGATTTTTATGTTAATTTATATAGTCAAACATGATTGCTTGTCTTTCTCACTATTCAGTATTTTGTTTGTTTGTTTTAAAAATAGGCTTGTGCATGGACAAGTGCACCAAAGATCACTCAATTAGTCATTTATTTGCGTGATTATTTCTGGCCTCCCAAAAAGCATTCATCAAATACTACAAGTTTAACTGAACGTGACAAAGAGATGAAATTACGTACTCGTGTTTTGTGTAGAACTGTACTATTAGGCAGTGTTTCTGGTAAGTGAAATATTTTTGTTCCATATATTCACATTATTTCAAAGATACAATTCATGTTTCTTTCTACTTTGTTTAGTCCCTTTAATCCGACTGACTGCATCTGCACCCTGTGCTTTTTGCAATAAGACTCATAAATTTAAACCTTTTCCAAATTGTTCTTAATGGAAGATGGAGACTAAAAAAATAGTATTGATGTCTGTCGTAATTATAATGCACAGATTACAATTACCTCGCTTATTTACCCACTTTTTATAAATATATTAGTATTTCTCAGAGTTAATGTCAGATATTTAGTGATGTTTAGTTCGAAAGTTCATTATTCATGTTATTTTAAAAGAAAATTTCTTAACTACCAAAGATGACCAATATCTGTTTCAATTTTTCATTTTTATTGTTAGAAAGATAGATTTGTCGATGAGTTTAGTTGTACTGTACTTTTCAATAAGTTATAAACTTTTAGTTTTAAAGACACAAAGAAATTACAAACTTCACAATTGTAACAATCAGTTGCATTGATTCACATTATATTGATTATTACTATTGGGTTGGCTTTAAGAAGGTGCTATGAGGCATCCAGAGTCTCTCAAGAAACCGAAGAGATTTCATCCAATCACAACCTGATGGAATTTCATGAATATCGATCGATGTGACGTACGGTGGTCGGGTAATTGCGTAATATCGCTGTCTGTGGCCTAGACGGTTATAATGATACTTTTATTCTATACGAGAAACTATATATACACATGATTTCCCTGCACATCTTGATCTTGACACTTACTGGTATAAATGCTTCTGTTTTCTTTCGGCTATTTATTTTCTGTTTGACAAATAGTTCTACTAGTTTCATTTTCAAACGCTCTATTCAGTATTAGTTGTATCAAGTTGCAAACTTGACAAATTACCTTTTAATATCCTAAACATTTTCTCATTTTATTATATTTGTATATTCAGAAACTGAGAATAATGAGACAATTAGTTGTTTTCAATCATTTCCTCAAGCTCTAATAATTATGGTACTACAATGATTAAAATTAAAGCATACTAGTGACATCAATGCAATCTGTACTTACGCTACGAATGATGGGTTACTGATGATGAGATTTTCCATCTATGTGTATACCTTGAGTTACTGCTTTTAGTTTCAATGTTCTCCAGTCGACTTACCTTGCATGATAGAACCTATAGGAACAAATGTTCCAGCCGATATAGCTCGGCTGGTTAAGGATAACTAAGTCACGATGAAAATGATCGTTTCACGGTGTCCAATGATCTTTGTTTTTTCTTTTTACTTTTATTCGTCATATCTTATCAACAAGTTCTTAAACAGTAAGAAAGCAAAAAAAACAATGACACTGAAGATTAATTTTAAAAAGCATCAGGTGTTAAGGCGAACGATTAACATTAAGACATTCGATAACTGTGCTGATAAATTGCAAACATTTAGACATGCAATTTTTCGTATAACCACTTGTAAATTAATCTTCTATTGAGGGATATATCAAATATTGACAAATGAATAAACCAAATTATTGTGGACAACTTTTAAAATTAACTATGGTATTTTAACAAATTTTGAAGATTATCATGCATATATTTTACTAATTAAAGGGATCTGTTAAACGTTAAATTCCTAGTTGCCTCAAAGCGTAAAAAAACGTTGAATTATAATCACAACTATGCTTTGTTCTCTTGATGTATCCAAATTTTCTAAACTATAAAAGGATTAAAAGTAGTTCTCAAAGTAAGCACATGATATTATGCAATTATTAGGTTGCAATTAAATGTTTTCTACCCTCTATCTTGTATTTGAGTAATACTGGATTTTGTATCTGAATTTTAAAAAGAATTTAGAATTGTAATGAATGTATTTGATTCAGTTTTATCATGAAATTACTCCAATAGTCCGTATAATTCTGAACAGTTGATATTTATTAGAATTTAATAATGTTAAACTTACATTCAAATAGGAATTAAGTCCACGTCGACGTTGCGCTAAAAATTCAGGACTCATATTATTAAATGCTATTTTTGATGGTAATTTGAGTTCAGCGATACGACCACACTAAAAATATAACGATGGAATTGTAAATTCTATAGATTTTAATTACATAATGTTTAACATTGATATTCGACGACACGTGCATAGGTCTGTGTACACCCTGAGTAAGTGAAATTTATTATTCAACTATTTAAACAGAATTAGATAGAATGAGTTATAAACTTGTGACTAAAGTGAGTGAAAATTGAACACCTTAATCATAAATCGTGGCTAAAAGTTTGTTTCGTAAATTTGAAACGAAAAGCTTTAAGTTTCATCAATCATTCATTGACAGACTGTAAATTAATCGTTAAACCATATGAATTTTCAGTTACACAATTGAACACCAACCATCTACCTAATACCACGGAAAAAGCTAGTTGTTATTCATTAAACTATCAAACTAAAATCATGTATCAGCTCAAAACCGAGTAGTAGTAGTAGTAGTAGTAGTAGTAGTAGTACACAAGGAATGTATAAATATTAAGTGTTGTGTCTGTGAGACCAAACAGAGGTTTGTTGTGAATACTGTAAATGGTTTGGCATTATTTTGGCGTGTTTTGATAATAGTCTATATATAAATTTGGTTTATAGGGTAACCGATTTCATTGATACTGGTGGTTGTCTAGCAACATTCTCGAGGGCCATTGTCACTGGAATACTGTATTGCATATCACCATTGCTAACACTACCGAGCTTGACAGTCACGTAAGCGGGATGGTTCAAATTGATTAACGCGATAATAGATCAGTAATTATCACTATATATATTGGTGTATATAGATGGTGTGAACAGTCCACCAGGGGTGCCAGGTACCTGTGTGGTTGCACCACAGGATTGAGCTGTACTGTTCACGTTGTAGTGTTAACAGGTGGGCAGTGTCTGGTTTTCCTGTAAACCAATATAAAAGTACCTTTGCTGTTTGAGGGTGAATTTATATAGTATAATGGTCTGCAGTATATTTACAACTGGAAATTGAAAATGAAATGATGCAAGTAAGAACACGAAGACTGTATATGATGATTGACAGATTATCAATCAAGTTTGTAATACATTAAACTGATTAGAGCTTGGTAATTGATTAATGATCAGTTTACGGAATAAATATTAACCATCGATGACCAACAGATATATTACTAGCATTACTTCTTAAAGCGTTATTACATATTATAGACACTTAGTAACAAAACTCAATATCGAATACGTCATAATCGTATCAATCATGACTTTTATCCTCATCTTGCAGCGGATGGTACTCACGAGGTGGCATATAAGTAGTATGTAGTGGAATGTCGCCTAGAAGTTGCTGACAGAGGGGAGTGTTTGGAGACGTGAAAAGTATGGTGCGATCAAAGTGTTTTTAAGACCAGATAAGATGTGAAAGGTCGTCGATAATCAGTTTGTATTGTAAAGAGATGTCTGAAGACTAGGTGTACACATTTTACTAATAAACGATGTCTTTTTCAAGTATATTATTATTTCGTTCGATCTCGACTACTTTACTAAATCAGAAAAACAATCAATACAAAAGTAAATTAATTTCTTGATTTTTTTCCAACTTACTCTATTTGTAAGAAACGAGTGTAGTTCAACGAAATGTCTGAAACGACGGAGAGTATTCCAAGATTGAGACTGTCCAGTGGAAGGTGAAGTACGTGTAACTTTTACAGTATAAATTACATAAGAGTCATGCATTATTTCTAGAAGAAAATATAGGATGAATGCAAATCATTTTGTAAGTTACTTGCCTACCGTACTAAACTGGCTTTATTCACAACGATTTAACGTTACAAAACAAACAATCAATAAGTTGTTAGATGAAGATTATTCAAGTAGCGTTCGAAGTTTCATGAACTACGGTAGTTAGTCTGCAATCTTACTATATTTACTAAGTTTGAATGTGTTGATAACTAAGTAATGGAAATAATTACTCGTTTTTTACTTAGCTTATGATAAAGTATAAGCTGATCCCCATTGAAATTTATGCAAAGATTTAATGATCAAAATCTCAAATTTATGTGTAAACATATTCATTGAAGGTTTAAATTGTAAATAAGGTGATTTGAAACACTATTAAAGGCAGTTGTCGCTTTCCATTTGAGTACATCATTGAAAGATACTTACTCTTGAGATAACTAAAAAGAAAACTGTGTAAGTAGTTGTTGTAGAAATCTGGAAACGTCACCAGATTGTCCAAGGAAAAATTCTTTAGGGCCAGAGCGATGGCGTTTTTATGGACAGTTTTTAATGTGTACTTGTATATATTAACTACAGTGACGAGAATCCAAAGAGCGCAGATAGATGGGCTATTTCTAGGGTTGAGTTTTTTCTAGCCCTGAAATCTAATTGTGAGAAGGCATTATTACCGTAGATCATAACTCTTTAATGGAAACACTTGCTGCCATAGCATCCCAGTACATTCATTAGCAGCAACTAATTTGTCTGAAAAGTTAGGACAGACCTAGATGGATAAAACAACTGGGCTAGGCCATAACAACATACATTTTCGACCACCACATTCATGTAGTAGTTAAAATAACTGTAAAAAGCTATACAGTGTAACACTTAGAAAACCTAGTGAACAAACAAATGGTACAACCAAGAAAAAACATTATACAGATGAAATATAAAGCTTTATTACAGCTTAGTTAACAGAAGAATTTATTTACCTGTTCGATTTATGACAGCTGCGTAAGCATCATCAAAAGCTCCACGTTCGTTATGATTTGTTGTTGAAATAAATCTTTTTCCGAAAAAAAATGTGGCACAAAAGTTAGAGAGTTTTCAAGAATTTATATATTAAATTTACTAAAATGTATTAGAGCTCATTAAAGTATATTCATTCTGTCAAAAATATTCCACATATATTGTAAGTACAAGAATTTCTTAATTTACAACAAATATTCAGTTAGTATCAGTCTTCTACAGTCAAAACTATGTTCATAATGATTAGTTTTCATACAATCTAATATATTGAACTTATTTTGAGATGAAATAACTGAAATACTTTAACAGATAGACTTGATTCGCGTTTTAGTTAACATTATTCGATTGATTTCAAAAAGTAACTCAACAATCTCCACAACCCTCTCATGCAAATGATCATGTACTCACTAGTGACTAGCTTCTTGAGGAAGTTTTTTCGACTTCTAGTGAGAAATTGTGACCAGTGGAGTCCCACCCTGTTTGGGTGTGAAGAAGTGTTCACCGAAGACAGTGGATGAGGTTGCGCAGCCACCGTGGATTGGTCGAAGTTAGATATTAACACTATTAGATACCGGCTCAGTGGTCCAGAAGTTAGGCGTTCGAGCAAAAGACTGAATGTCATAGGTTCGAATAGCTGCGGGTTGCGAAAGTCGTGGTTGGGCACTGCTAACGAGTCCCAGTGCTTCCAGGTTTCTAATGGTGGTCTAACATTGATTGGTTCATGATTTCAAGAAAATGTTCTTATTATGTTGAAACACTGAAAATATTTTCGTTTCTATGACATTGAATGGTAGTTTCGTAGTACTACTTCAAAATACTTGAAAATAAAACATGTCTAGCATGTAGATGAGAATTACAGCTTCTACTGAAGATTAGGAACATACATATACAGATTACTAGAGACTTTGGAAACATTACATAAGAATATGGTGATCTTTTACAGTAAGCTGATTGTATATGTATGATTTCGGTCTGAAAAACTATTATTCAGTAAATAACTTTATTGCTCCCATTTCTATGTTTCTCCTATTGATCTTTGTAACACGTTTCACCATTCTATCATTATTGCTAATAAATAATGTACTGTTCATTATTTAAAAGAAAATTCTCTTGATAGTTTCCAAAGAATACAGATTCATCAAAGTATTTCCAACACTGTGATAGTTTCAGAATACTTCTTCGAAAAATTACTAAAGCCTACTAGTATAGTCAAACTTAATTCCAGTAAATCATTGAACCCAATAAATACTTCTAAATGATACACACGAAAATTGCGAGAAAAAGATAAGATGCAATTTAAGTTAACATCTATGTACATATCCATGAATTAGGTTATAAATTACAATGTAATATTTGATGATTAAATTATCTTATTTAAGTCATCCCAATTCGAATCTATGGTTATACAGATGACTAATTGAAATATAACCATATTAACTATTAAAGCGATGAATATGAAACAGATTACAGATAAGACGAATTTAATGTAAAAGATCATATTTAAAAACTTTATTGCAATTATATCAATTACTGTCTATGAATACTAATTTGAAGTCAATCAAAACCATCATCTTGCTAACTGAATCATTAGAAATACAATAATGATAAACAGATTGGTTACAAGTGTATTTAGTGCTATAGTAAACATCAGATTCATCAAATCAAACAACTATGTACCTTAAAAGTAATTTTCACTATGAACTGATATTATAGAGATGTAGCCATTAACAACCAGATATAGAGTTCAGTAACCGTTAGTAGTTGATAATCACTTGACTACATAACAAGCATAGTTAGCCAAATTAAAGGTAAGGTAGAAATTAACAGATAACACTGGGAGATAAAAATCGTGACTAAAGTTAATAACGTAAAACTTAACTTCAGTACAGTTGTACAGTAATGTCGAGTATCTAACAAGATCTGGTAATTATTAGTTCGATCGTCCGCACAAACTCATGAATTCTCTCACTGTTGAGAAATCTCAAGCTTGGACGAAATCGTTATTCAATTCCGCCTAGTTTTTAACAAATCTACAGAATCGATGAAACCCTATGACGTTAACTTTATAACTCAGCTATACAAAATATTATCCATTCAACTCTGACGAAGTAATCGGATATTCCAAAAGAATATCAAATGAAAATTTGACCGATTTCTTGATGATTATGATAAAAAGAAAAAAATGGAGATGGGATTAAACAGAAGACGCTGACTTACAGAAGATTCTGATAATCTTGGCGGCACTGACTTTGGTTGTTGTTGGGCTTCTGAGGAAGAAAGATCAAAAATATTCGCTCAAGGTATAATTTTTATAGGTAAATTGTTTTGAAAAAATTAGTTTGACCGTCAAGATGATTGCTTAATTTTGTTGTTTGCATCACAAACTGACCACTGAGAAGAGAAACCAATAAAGTTTATGTATTCTTCTACAGTGTGAAAGCAATTGGTTAAGATCGTTTCCTCAAATAATAATTCCCATATGCTCTTAGAATACGACCGGTACATTTTCGATTGTCAAAATGAAGTAAATGAATCCTGGTCGATGGGATGATATGCAATGATACGATACGACTGAGTGATGGCTGTTCATGAGACTAAATTATTCACGTAAGCCTCTGAGTGGCATGAAATCAAAGTCTAGGTCACTAGTCAGATGAATAAATTTTATTTTAGACTGACAAAAATGAACATGCTCATATACAAATTACCAACAGAAAAATAAGCATAATTAAACATTATATTTGATTGGAGAAACCAGTTTCTTCGTCGGTTGCTGACTCCAATCAATCAGTTCTCCTTCATCATAACAGATTGTCTAACTAAACAAAGTGCAGCTTACTCAGTGAGTCAGTGTAAGCCGACATACGATATGGTTAATCACAGGTTGTCTAGGATTTAACAAAAATTTGTTTCATTAACATAATTTCACATTATCTCACTTCCAATAGCCTTAACGGGCACTTCTAATGGAACTATCTTGTGGGAAGCATGGAATTCGACGATGGAGGGACAGGAAACCAACAGGTAGTTTAGTATGTTCACTACTATATTACAACTCATTGTATTAATTGTACTCACTGAATCCACAAATATAGAATCGATGAGAACGCTGTGATGTTAAAACATATGTCACTTGAAACAACAATATAAATTTGTTGCTATATGTTTAGATAATAAAGTACAACCATAACTTAGAAGGATTTCAGTTAGATTGTATTATTTGAGGTAAATAGTATAAGCATAAAAATTATTGAAAATAATTCAATACTAGCGAAACTAGTAAATATTATTCCATCATATGATGAAATCTTCAATCATATTGGATTTCCTAATTTACAAAAAATCGATCACCTCTTACATTTCCATATCGCAAATAGTATTACTTACATTCGAATTTTTCTTATCCTCAGTAGTAAATTAAATTACTAACGATAAAAAATATGATATATATATATATATATATATATATATATATATATATATATATATAACATAATTATATGGCTGTTTTATTTTTTCAAAAGAATGTCATTTTTTATGATTATTTATATTTGGTGAGAAAAGTGTAAAGAAACGTCAAAAAGATTACCTTTGAAACAATGATTTTCTGTACATTCATCAACAGAATTTGAAGAAATCGACATTTCAGATTGGAAAGAAACGTTATGAAGAGTAGAATCATTGGAAGTATTAATCTTTTCAGTTTCAGATAATGGCTTAGGTTGGACTTGAGATACTGTTTCGTTTGAAATTGAAGAGATAGACATATAACTAGACGATGAAGGTTGTTCTAATGGTTCCTTAAGTAAATCTAATTCAGCCAAAAGATGAATGTATTGACTACTACGTTTAAATGCACCAAAACAACTGGGACCTGCTAGAATGTTAATAATCTGTTAAATGTAAAACATTTGATTAGAAATCTCAGTTGGAAATAAATAAAAATCAAATAGTGTAGACGAGAATACGTTCCAAGCTGCATTAGAAACTCATCAACAAAATGTGGAGTAACGAATTAGCAGTTAGAGCTCTCAGCTATTAAGCAGTAGGTTGTATGTTAAAAACATGCTTCATCGAGTTCGGTTTGCATAGCCGATCACAAGGGGCTTAAAACAAAGTGCATAACTATCTACTTGATAACTATGTTACATTATATATGTAACACCAAGTGGCAATCATGATTAAAACCGATTTTCAATTCACGTTCGTTTACATTAAAAGCTAAGTTCCGCTATTTTGCTTGATAATGTTAAATTTATCACCAGAAACTAAGACACGTTATAAGATGGTGAAGATTTGTAGCTAAGGTGGAAGATTGTGGTGATGGTGTTTGGTTCTCTGAGCTGGGTGTTTTGTTTGTGGAGCATGTGGAGTAATCAAAACAAAGGTGAAAACAACGACATGTTTAAGCTCAAATGCAACCAATCAAGATCGAGGTTAACAAAACAAGTTACAGGTTAAACGTGGAGAAATTCGATTGCTTCACTTCTATCTGACGTTTGTGCTGATGATGTTGTTCAGAAAAACAATGAAAGCTCCAAAACTAAAACAACCAGCTCAGAGAACCAAACACCACCACCGTAAGACACGTTATAAATTACAACAAAACGTATGCACACAAAAGGGTGCATGCTCCAAATCAACATCGTAACAAGTGAAAACACCGTTCCATCTATTTTAGTTTAGTCGAAGAGCGAGCATCTAAAAACCTTAAAACACTGAATGCGATACAAAGACTTATTTATTAGCTGGTACTCGGATATAATAATTTTGCCGATTTATTACCAAGACATACGCCGATACTAGGATCGAATCACATTATTCAAATGACTGGGACTGTCAGCAGACCATCACATAGTTGACTGATTCATCAAAATCAGGATTTGCGTAAGCTATACAAACATATTTTATAATTTGTGATGATGCATGATTGAGGTCAGTTATTAAAATAATGACATGAAAATTATAGTTCGAAGATATGATTCGATAAGTATAATTCAGTAGGATAAGTTTAGAAGGAGAAAGGTGGAGATTATGAGGAATTCAGAAGGTTAGATATTAGAGAGAACATAAAAAGTGGATGCACCTGTGCCATTGAAAACGATTCTGAGCCATGTCAGTCAAGGTCTCTAACCATCGGTGACTTTCGCCTCGCGAATCCCAACCAGGTAGCCTACATCTGCCAACATATCTCAGTCCACCTGTCAGTGACTTCATGGATTTCTGCCACGTTTTGGTCTGGCATCTACTAGCTTTCTTCCAACCTATACCACAAAACATAGCTCGTCAAGGCAGTCGGTGGTTAAGCAAACGGAAACACATGTCCCAACCACTATCTCGCCTACGCCATAAGTGAGGCAGGTTGGCAAAAGCCAATCGAGCTTTCTGTACCCGTGCTGAGATTTCGTCAGTCACCAGGTAGTCAGCACTGATGAGACTCCCAAGATAAATGAAGCGGTCAACACGCTCGACTACTTCACTCCTTATCACTACTTCAGGTGCCGATGCAACCCAATCTTGAAACAACATTTTGCATTTCGAGGGGGAAAACCGCATCCCGAACATGCTTGCATTGTTGCTTAGGTTGGTCAGAAGACTCTGCATTTTGTTAGCGTCATCAATAGATAGGGCTATGTCATCGGCATATTCCGAGTCAATAAGCGAGCCTCCTGGTAGAAAGTCGACTATTGAAAATTCAGACGAGGATAAGGTTACATCTAGCACAGCATGACAACATGAAACAAAAATGGGGAAAGTGGATATCCCTGACGGACACCACTTGAAGTTAAGAATTCTGATGACAGTTCGCCATACAAAAAAAGTCGACTGATTACTTTAACGACAACGCACTATCAATGTAAGCATTTCACGCAATTAATACCGAAAAACAAGACATAAATAGCTGATAGGAACGTTTAATTCACTAAACGTTCATTTACAAAATACTGTAAACAAAAAAAATCATGAATAAATGACTAGAGGTTATAAAGAGTTTTGTTAGTCATTCACTTTCCAAATCAATTAACATCGAGGCGACTTCATGAATAATTTTTAGACTCCATATCAGAAAGCCAGCATAATTAGTCTAACATATGTGGACATGTGACTGACAAAAAGCCTAAAAGTCACAATCATATGTTATACACCACCATAAATAGAAACTTGAATATATATTCAGATCAGTGTGATCATAATCAAACAGCTTGAAAATGTTAATGGAACAATGAAGACTACTCCTACACCACAAACCAGCTCGTCGAGGAGGTCGGTGGTTAGGCATTCGTAACACATGTCCCAATCACTTCAACTGAAGAAGTTTCAATACTGCATCTAGTGATCTGCGATCCTCGTATCATAGCAGCAGCATTGCCTGCTTCACTGTCCCCAGATATACGAGCGATGCTTCGAAGAGACCTGCGGGCGAAAACCAGTAACTAAGAAATATCCTCTACTCTTACTGACCATGCTTCGAACCCAAGGAGTGCAGTAGACTTTTAGTTAGTCATTCAATGTCTAGCTCACATGACTTGTCCCACTTATCTTTTGACCTCGTCAATCACTCGTCGCTTTCATTCATGTGTGCTTGTTACTTGTCTGTCTTATTTTTGTCTGGCTATAAATTTTTAGCCATGCTTTATCTATTGGAGTTGGCTCACTAGCCTTCTCCACTCCACCTCACTTTATTCGACGATGCGCTATTTCGCTTGCTTTCCGGCGCTAGCATGACGATTTTATCTTCGAGTGCTTGTAGTCTGCTGATACATTTTGTCGTGTGCCAAAATAAGCGTATTCAACACTTCGAGTTCTCCTGATTTATAAGCCGTCAGACGTTATTTAGTAACGATTGTCTGGACGAGCTAATTACGAAGCGTAAGAACACGTTGGATACCAACCGTCACGAAACTAACGAAACACTGGCCACCAGAGACTCATCCTTTGGCTAGCAGACGGCGATCTTGCCTACGCCAAAAATGACGCAAGGTGCAAAAAGGCGATCGAATCTTTAGAATTCAAGGTGCGATTTCATAACAAACCAGGCCATCAGCACTGATAAGACTCCCCAAAGTAAGTGAAGCGGTCGACACTTTCAATCACTTCACTCCCTAACATTAGATCAGGTTCGAGTCTCCTTGAAGAAGACCGACACCTGGGTAGTTCAACGATGACGGTATCATAGCTAAAAGCATGCCTATGACAAAGCTAAAAAAATTGAGAGAGTCGAAAACCCTGACGGACGCCACTTGAGGTAAAGAATTCCGATGACAGTTCGCCATAAGCTCTCACTCGACCAGTGGTATTCGAGTAGAGAGCTTTTATAGTGTTAATGTACTTCTTAGGTTCACCTTTACAGTCAAATGTCGCCATAAGGTCCAGGAAGACAACTCTTGTCGAACGCCTATGTGTCCGTATTCAAAGAATTGTCGTAGTGTGAATATGTGGTGTATAAAGCCACGTCCAGGTAAGAAACCATCCTCGTTCTCTCTAGTCTCCTCATCACGAGCACTAGTCAGGCATCTAAGTATAACTGAGGCAAACAATTAAGAAAATATATTAGTAAGACTGATTCCCCCTGTGACTGTCACAAGAAGACTATTGTCCCTTCTTATAAATTGGCACAATCCTCTTGCAGGCCCCAAACAGGTGGTCGACACCTACTGACATGACCCAGTCCACATGTCAGTTACTTCATGGATTCGTGTCATGTTTTGTTTGGCCACCCCTAACTTCCTTCCAACCTATTTCTAGATCGCAAAACTCCCAAGATAAGTGAAGCGGTCAACATCCTCAACTGCTTCACCCCCTATCGCTAGTTTAGGTGTTGACACAAGCCAATCTTGACGCAACATTTTGCATTTTGATCGGGGGAACCGCATCCCGAACATGCTAGCATTGTTGCTTAGGGTAGTCGAAAGACTTTCTACTTTTTCAGCGTTATCAGCATATTCAAGGTCAGCATGCGAGTCTCCTGGCAGAAGGTCAACCCCTGAAAAGTCAGACGACAAAAATGTTAACTCTAAAAGCATTTCTACTACAAAGTGAAACAAGAATGGAAAATGTGGACATCCGTGACGGACACCACCTTAAGTATAGAATTGCGATGACAGTTCACCATAAACTCTAACTCCAACTGTAGTGTGCGAGTAGGGAGCTTGTATAAGGTTAATGTATTTCTTACGTACAGTATTTCTAGTTGTTCGTGAAATATATTCTTAGCTTTATTATCAATAAGGGCTTTCAAACAACAGCGGAGCTCATTCTTTGAGGATCTCTCATAAAAAGGCTGTGCGTGACCAGCCTCAAAGCAGTTACCCCTTGGGCTCTGCGGTCAAGCTTCTAGGTCACTAAGACCGACACTAAACTACCTTCTTTTTCAGCTCCCTCAAGAAACAACCTTCCGCGGTGTGAGCAGCCGGGAAGTGACAACCGCCCTCATACCCGTAACAGCACACGAGACCGAATTGGTCAAAATCAAGTCCTTCTTACACCCCCTAACATATCTCTTATCTCCATGACTATTTCTTCTCACATCCCTTTATCACCCCGTACCGCTAATTTAAATGATGTGAGCGCACAAAACGTTATTCCTGGTCTCCTGAAAACCCGTTCTAGACTACATGTTGGAGCTTTCAATGTGCGGACATTGTGTCAAATAGGACAACAGCATTCCTTAACTAAGACTTCGTACGTACCATAAGATTCGTCCACGAGTCTTTCCGTTTAACGTAGTCTACCTACTTGAGCACTATAGTCACAAGCAATTATTACTACATCACATTGCCTAACTTTTTGGGAAAATTTTTGTAAAACTCATCTCTCACCTCGTCTGAGCTGCAGTCAGTGGGAGTGTAGGCAGATAAACCGAAGAGGCAATGTCGGGTATCCCTATCTTTACGTGTTCTTGTGGTTTCGTTTAGTCAGACAGCACATATAAAGTCTGTCTCCTGGGATACAGTCTAGGAGACCTAGTTCTGCCCTAGGACTCAATGCTATACCTACAGCAGCCGGACCGCGGGAAGCAGGATCATGGCTACCAGATACACGATGAGTAAATCCAGCTGCTTCTTGATTTTGATAAGGTGAAACCAAATTAATGACTTTACTAGGATCCTGTATGCGCGTTTCCGAAACGCAGCATACGTCGACGGCGCGAGATTCTAGGGTGCTAGTTAAGGAAGTCTGTTGTCCTATTTGACACAATGTCCGTACATTAAATGCTCGAATATGTAATCTAAAACGAGGTGTCAGGAGACCAGTAATGAAATTTGGTGAACACGAACCGTTTGCAATAGAGTGACAGTAGAGTCCAAGGGACAACTGCTTGAGGCCGACCATGCACGGCCTTTTTATGAGAGGTTTTCAGAGTACTAGCTCCGCTCTTTTTTAAAAGCCCTTACCACCAGAGAGCAAAAACCGTGAGGTAAAGCGAGGTGTGAAGGAAGGGTGTAGGGGTGTAGGAAGGATTTGATTGAAGTAACCATGAGAAATATCTAGCTGGCACGAATCCATAGAGGGTAGTTTGCAGCTTAACTGAACATTTGTTACACGTGCAATCTGAAATTATGGTGACTTCTTGTGTCAACTTTTGTCATAAATTAACAAAGGATCATCATCAGATAATTAAAGTGTTCAAATTATCGGTATGACTTACATAAGTTTCAATTTCAGTGAATGCATTAGGATTTAGACAATTCGGTTGACCAGTAAGTGTTTTTAATGTACGTTGAATTAGCGGTTCAGCTGATAGAGGCATAAAGTGTAATAAATTGCTACATATCGTAATACCAAAGGCACGTAACTGTTCAATAGAATCATCAACAATATCATCATTTCCACTTTTTTCTAGTATATTTTTCTTATTATCTTCAATTAAGACTATTGTTTTATGCTGTTCACCTTCATATGAAGATGGTGTTATTGAATTTTCTTTTCCGATCAGATTTTTCTTATTGTCACATGAATCGAGTGTAACTTCAGTTGTTGTACCTTCACAACAGACAGTATCTGAGACTGATAACGATTCTTCGTCGGTATTGTTAATCTCAATTAGATTTGTAGGATTTAGGCATAGATCTTCGCTTCTAATACTGGTTGACATAGCAGATGAAATAGACTCCATTCGCGAAGCTTCAGCCAGAGCCAATACTGAAGGATCGATATTTTGATTAATAGTGGCATTAGGTATTAATTTACTCACACCTTCACGAAAACTCTGAAAGTCATTGGAAAGAGAATAAAGACCATGTAAATAAGGATACAGTAAAGTTGGGATTACGAAAAACAAATAGTTACAATCCCATTGAGTGATATTATACAAACCGTTTTGTGCGAACTCATACTTTCAAAATTGTATTTTTAATTCCGACTGTGAATGTGGTGGTCGAGCATGCCTATCGTGATGACCTGGGAGCTTGACCACAGAGCCCAAGTGACAACTGCTTGAGGCTTGTAACGCACAGCCTTTTTATGAGAGATCTTCAGAGTATTAGCTCCGCTCATGTTTAAAAGCACTTACTGATAATAAAGCTAGGTAAGATAGGGATACCCGACGTTGCCTCTTCGTCATATCTGCCTAAGTTCCCACTAACTGCAGTTCAGACGAGGTGAAAAATAAGTTTTACAAAAAGCTTTCCCAAAAAGTTAGGTGCTGTGATGTAGTAATAATTGCTGGTGACTATAATGCTCAAGTAGCTAGACTAGACTTGTGGTGTCGCTGCTAATAAAACAGATAATGGCGTCCGCCTGGTCAAACTATTCTCAGACAACCGACTTTTTCTAACAAACACTAACCTTAAGCACAAAGAAAACATCTGGACTAGCGAGCCTAAAATTCGTCACAATGTTGGACCCAACTAGATCACAATGCCATCGGCCACCGGTGAAGGGGTTCGATATAAGACTGTCGCTCATTCTGGAGCACATGTTTACATTCAGATCATGCTCTAGTGCGAGTGCGTATTTGTTTGAAGCTTAATGGACGTAGGAAATGCACCGTAAGAAAGACTCTAAGGGTTTTACTTATAGATAATAAGGCGAAGAATATATTTCAAGAACAACTAAGAAAGGAGTTGGTCGACCACGTAAACGATTCCCATCCGGATGCAGGTTGGAATGATATCAAAAAGGCTGTGGATGCAGCAGCGATATCTGCTAGTAAGGTGAACCATAAGGCTAGAATTAGGCCGTCGATTTCAGTCGCGTCCACCGAACTCATCCCACCTGGCTCCGAACATGATGAAGAACGAAGTCAGCTTAAGCGCAGGCTGATAAAAAGCCTGCACAACGACCGTGAACAGTGGTGAATGGCGAAAGCAAAAGCGATGGAAGGCAGTGGCGATAGGAAACAGTAGACAAATTTTCCGATTTATCAAGGAAGCTGGTATTAGGAATTCAAATGTGAGTGAGACCATTTCGGAAAAGGATCGGACTATTATTTTTTCCCGATCCAGGAAACTAGATCGATGGGCAGAACGCTTTAGGGATCAGTTCAACTGGCCTCGAGCCACACTTCGGTTACCCACAATCTCCAGTCATCCTGAATGGCAAATCGACGTAAGCCCTCCGAACCGTTATGAAGTTGAAAAGACTATAGGAAATCTAAAGCGAGCAGCTGGTCCTGATAGATTGACCACTGAGATTTCCAAGGATGGTACTCCAGTTTTAGCAGCTACGTTGACTGAAATCTTAGCTAGAATCTGGGAACTGGACGTAATCCCATGCGACTGGTCTCAATACTTGATTGTCCCAATCTATAAGAAAGGAAACAAGTCATCTTGTGACAATCACAGGGGAATCAGTCTAACTAATATAGTAGCTAAAATATCGGCCTCAATAATACCTCAACGCTTAACGAAAGCTCGTGAAAAGCAGACTCGAGAAAACCAGGCTGGGCGTGGCTGTATACTCCACATCTTCCAACTACGATAGGTTCTGGAACACCGACACACATTTAGACGTCCTACAATAGTTGTTTTCCTGCACCTCAGAGCGGAATTTGACTCAGTGGATCGCGAGGTTTTGTGGCAGTGTCTGTCACTTGAAAGTGTACCAAAAAAGTACAATAACACTATAAAAGCTCTCTACTGGAATACCACTGGTCGAGTGAGAGCTTATGGTGAACTGTCATCGCAATTCTATACTTAAGGTGGTGTCCGTCACGGATGTCCACATTTTCCATTCTTGTTTCACTTTGTAGTAGAAATGCTTTTAGAGTTAACATTTTTGTCGTCTGACTTTTCAGGGGTTGACCTTCTGCCAGGAGACTCGCATGCTGACCTTGAATATGCTGATAACGCTGAAAAAGTAGAAAGTCTTTCGACTACCCTAAGCAACAATGCTAGCATGTTCGGGATGCGGTTCCCCCGATCAAAATGCAAAATGTTGCGTCAAGATTGGCTTGTGTCAACACCTAAACTAGCGATAGGGGGTGAAGCAGTTGAGGATGTTGACCGCTTCACTTATCTTGGGAGTTTTGCGATCTAGAAATAGGTTGGAAGGAAGTTAGGGGTGGCCAAACAAAACATGACACGAATCCATGAAGTAACTGACATGTGGACTGGGTCATGTCAGTAGGTGTCGACCACCTGTTTGGGGCCTGCAAGAGGATTGTGCCAATTTATAAGAAGGGACAATAGTCTTCTTGTGACAGTCACAGGGGGAATCAGTCTTACTAATATATTTTCTTAATTGTTTGCCTCAGTTATACTTAGATGCCTGACTAGTGCTCGTGATGAGGAGACTAGAGAGAACGAGGATGGTTTCTTACCTGGACGTGGCTTTATACACCACATATTCACACTACGACAATTCTTTGAATACGGACACATAGGCGTTCGACAAGAGTTGTCTTCCTGGACCTTATGGCGACATTTGACTGTAAAGGTGAACCTAAGAAGTACATTAACACTATAAAAGCTCTCTACTCGAATACCACTGGTCGAGTGAGAGCTTATGGCGAACTGTCATCGGAATTCTTTACCTCAAGTGGCGTCCGTCAGGGTTTTCGACTCTCTCAATTTTTTTAGCTTTGTCATAGGCATGCTTTTAGCTATGATACCGTCATCGTTGAACTACCCAGGTGTCGGTCTTCTTCAAGGAGACTCGAACCTGATCTAATGTTAGGGAGTGAAGTGATTGAAAGTGTCGACCGCTTCACTTACTTTGGGGAGTCTTATCAGTGCTGATGGCCTGGTTTGTTATGAAATCGCACCTTGAATTCTAAAGATTCGATCGCCTTTTTGCACCTTGCGTCATTTTTGGCGTAGGCAAGATCGCCGTCTGCTAGCCAAAGGATGAGTCTCTGGTGGCCAGTGTTTCGTTAGTTTCGTGACGGTTGGTATCCAACGTGTTCTTAGGCTTCGTAATTAGCTCGTCCAGACAATCGTTACTAAATAACGTCTGACGGTTTATAAATCAGAAGGTGAACTCGAAGTGTTGAATACGCTTATTTTGGCACACGACAAAATGTATCAGCAGACTACAAGCACTCGAAGATAAAATCGTCATGCTAGCGCCGGAAAGCAAGCGAAATAGCGCATCGTCGAATAAAGTGAGGTGGAGTGGAGAAGGCTAGTGAGCCAACTCCAATAGATAAAGCATGGCTAAAAATTTATAGCCAGACAAAAATAAGACAGACAAGTAACAAGCACACATGAATGAAAGCGACGAGTGATTGACGAGGTCAAAAGATAAGTGGGACAAGTCATGTGAGCTAGACATTGAATGACTAACTAAAAGTCTACTGCACTCCTTGGGTTCGAAGCATGGTCAGTAAGAGTAGAGGATATTTCTTAGTTACTGGTTTTCGCCCGCAGGTCTCTTCGAAGCATCGCTCGTATATCTGGGGACAGTGAAGCAGGCAATGCTGCTGCTATGATACGAGGATCGCAGATCACTAGATGCAGTATTGAAACTTCTTCAGTTGAAGTGATTGGGACATGTGTTACGAATGCCTAACCACCGACCTCCTCGACGAGCTGGTTTGTGGTGTAGGAGTAGTCTTCATTGTTCCATTAACATTTTCAAGCTGTTTGATTATGATCACACTGATCTGAATATATATTCAAGTTTCTATTTATGGTGGTGTATAACATATGATTGTGACTTTTAGGCTTTTTGTCAGTCACATGTCCACATATGTTAGACTAATTATGCTGGCTTTCTGATATGGAGTCTAAAAATTATTCATGAAGTCGCCTCGATGTTAATTGATTTGGAAAGTGAATGACTAACAAAACTCTTTATAACCTCTAGTCATTTATTCATGATTTTTTTTGTTTACAGTATTTTGTAAATGAACGTTTAGTGAATTAAACGTTCCTATCAGCTATTTATGTCTTGTTTTTCGGTATTAATTGCGTGAAATGCTTACATTGATAGTGCGTTGTCGTTAAAGTAATCAGTCGACTTTTTTTGTATGGCGAACTGTCATCAGAATTCTTAACTTCAAGTGGTGTCCGTCAGGGATATCCACTTTCCCCATTTTTGTTTCATGTTGTCATGCTGTGCTAGATGTAACCTTATCCTCGTCTGAATTTTCAATAGTCGACTTTCTACCAGGAGGCTCGCTTATTGACTCGGAATATGCCGATGACATAGCCCTATCTATTGATGACGCTAACAAAATGCAGAGTCTTCTGACCAACCTAAGCAACAATGCAAGCATGTTCGGGATGCGGTTTTCCCCCTCGAAATGCAAAATGTTGTTTCAAGATTGGGTTGCATCGGCACCTGAAGTAGTGATAAGGAGTGAAGTAGTCGAGCGTGTTGACCGCTTCATTTATCTTGGGAGTCTCATCAGTGCTGACTACCTGGTGACTGACGAAATCTCAGCACGGGTACAGAAAGCTCGATTGGCTTTTGCCAACCTGCCTCACTTATGGCGTAGGCGAGATAGCGGTTGGGACATGTGTTTCCGTTTGCTTAACCACCGACTGCCTTGACGAGCTATGTTTTGTGGTATAGGTTGGAAGAAAGCTAGTAGATGCCAGACCAAAACGTGGCAGAAATCCATGAAGTCACTGACAGGTGGACTGAGATATGTTGGCAGATGTGGGCTACCTGGTTGGGATTCGCGAGGCGAAAGTCACCGATGGTTAGAGACCTTGACTGACATGGCTCAGAATCGTTTTCAATGGCACAGGTGCATCCACTTTTTATGTTCTCTCTAATATCTAACCTTCTGAATTCCTCATAATCTCCACCTTTCTCCTTCTAAACTTATCCTACTGAATTATACTTATCGAATCATATCTTCGAACTATAATTTTCATGTCATTATTTTAATAACTGACCTCAATCATGCATCATCACAAATTATAAAATATGTTTGTATAGCTTACGCAAATCCTGATTTTGATGAATCAGTCAACTATGTGATGGTCTGCTGACAGTCCCAGTCATTTGAATAATGTGATTCGATCCTAGTATCGGCGTATGTCTTGGTAATAAATCGGCAAAATTATTATATCCGAGTACCAGCTAATAAATAAGTCTTTGTATCGCATTCAGTGTTTTAAGGTTTTTAGATGCTCGCTCTTCGACTAAACTAAAATAGATGGAACGGTGTTTTCACTTGTTACGATGTTGATTTGGAGCATGCACCCTTTTGTGTGCATACGTTTTGTTGTAATTTATAACGTGTCTTACGGTGGTGGTGTTTGGTTCTCTGAGCTGGTTGTTTTAGTTTTGGAGCTTTCATTGTTTTTCTGAACAACATCATCAGCACAAACGTCAGATAGAAGTGAAGCAATCGAATTTCTCCACGTTTAACCTGTAACTTGTTTTGTTAACCTCGATCTTGATTGGTTGCATTTGAGCTTAAACATGTCGTTGTTTTCACCTTTGTTTTGATTACTCCACATGCTCCACAAACAAAACACCCAGCTCAGAGAACCAAACACCATCACCACAATCTTCCACCTTAGCTACAAATCTTCACCATCTTATAACGTGTCTTAGTTTCTGGTGATAAATTTAACATTATCAAGCAAAATAGCGGAACTTAGCTTTTAATGTAAACGAACGTGAATTGAAAATCGGTTTTAATCATGATTGCCACTTGGTGTTACATATATAATGTAACATAGTTATCAAGTAGATAGTTATGCACTTTGTTTTAAGCCCCTTGTGATCGGCTATGCAAACCGAACTCGATGAAGCATGTTTTTAACATACAACCTACTGCTTAATAGCTGAGAGCTCTAACTGCTAATTCGTTACTCCACATTTTGTTGATGAGTTTCTAATGCAGCTTGGAACGTATTCTCGTCTACACTATTTGATTTTTATTTATTTCCAACTGAGATTTCTAATCAAATGTTTTACATTTAACAGATTATTAACATTCTAGCAGGTCCCAGTTGTTTTGGTGCATTTAAACGTAGTAGTCAATACATTCATCTTTTGGCTGAATTAGATTTACTTAAGGAACCATTAGAACAACCTTCATCGTCTAGTTATATGTCTATCTCTTCAATTTCAAACGAAACAGTATCTCAAGTCCAACCTAAGCCATTATCTGAAACTGAAAAGATTAATACTTCCAATGATTCTACTCTTCATAACGTTTCTTTCCAATCTGAAATGTCGATTTCTTCAAATTCTGTTGATGAATGTACAGAAAATCATTGTTTCAAAGGTAATCTTTTTGACGTTTCTTTACACTTTTCTCACCAAATATAAATAATCATAAAAAATGACATTCTTTTGAAAAAATAAAACAGCCATATAATTATGTTATATATATATATATATATATATATATATATATATATATATATATATATATATATATATATCATATTTTTTATCGTTAGTAATTTAATTTACTACTGAGGATAAGAAAAATTCGAATGTAAGTAATACTATTTGCGATATGGAAATGTAAGAGGTGATCGATTTTTTGTAAATTAGGAAATCCAATATGATTGAAGATTTCATCATATGATGGAATAATATTTACTAGTTTCGCTAGTATTGAATTATTTTCAATAATTTTTATGCTTATACTATTTACCTCAAATAATACAATCTAACTGAAATCCTTCTAAGTTATGGTTGTACTTTATTATCTAAACATATAGCAACAAATTTATATTGTTGTTTCAAGTGACATATGTTTTAACATCACAGCGTTCTCATCGATTCTATATTTGTGGATTCAGTGAGTACAATTAATACAATGAGTTGTAATATAGTAGTGAACATACTAAACTACCTGTTGGTTTCCTGTCCCTCCATCGTCGAATTCCATGCTTCCCACAAGATAGTTCCATTAGAAGTGCCCGTTAAGGCTATTGGAAGTGAGATAATGTGAAATTATGTTAATGAAACAAATTTTTGTTAAATCCTAGACAACCTGTGATTAACCATATCGTATGTCGGCTTACACTGACTCACTGAGTAAGCTGCACTTTGTTTAGTTAGACAATCTGTTATGATGAAGGAGAACTGATTGATTGGAGTCAGCAACCGACGAAGAAACTGGTTTCTCCAATCAAATATAATGTTTAATTATGCTTATTTTTCTGTTGGTAATTTGTATATGAGCATGTTCATTTTTGTCAGTCTAAAATAAAATTTATTCATCTGACTAGTGACCTAGACTTTGATTTCATGCCACTCAGAGGCTTACGTGAATAATTTAGTCTCATGAACAGCCATCACTCAGTCGTATCGTATCATTGCATATCATCCCATCGACCAGGATTCATTTACTTCATTTTGACAATCGAAAATGTACCGGTCGTATTCTAAGAGCATATGGGAATTATTATTTGAGGAAACGATCTTCACCAATTGCTTTCACACTGTAGAAGAATACATAAACTTTATTGGTTTCTCTTCTCAGTGGTCAGTTTGTGATGCAAACAACAAAATTAAGCAATCATCTTGACGGTCAAACTAATTTTTTCAAAACAATTTACCTATAAAAATTATACCTTGAGCGAATATTTTTGATCTTTCTTCCTCAGAAGCCCAACAACAACCAAAGTCAGTGCCGCCAAGATTATCAGAATCTTCTGTAAGTCAGCGTCTTCTGTTTAATCCCATCTCCATTTTTTTCTTTTTATCATAATCATCAAGAAATCGGTCAAATTTTCATTTGATATTCTTTTGGAATATCCGATTACTTCGTCAGAGTTGAATGGATAATATTTTGTATAGCTGAGTTATAAAGTTAACGTCATAGGGTTTCATCGATTCTGTAGATTTGTTAAAAACTAGGCGGAATTGAATAACGATTTCGTCCAAGCTTGAGATTTCTCAACAGTGAGAGAATTCATGAGTTTGTGCGGACGATCGAACTAATAATTACCAGATCTTGTTAGATACTCGACATTACTGTACAACTGTACTGAAGTTAAGTTTTACGTTATTAACTTTAGTCACGATTTTTATCTCCCAGTGTTATCTGTTAATTTCTACCTTACCTTTAATTTGGCTAACTATGCTTGTTATGTAGTCAAGTGATTATCAACTACTAACGGTTACTGAACTCTATATCTGGTTGTTAATGGCTACATCTCTATAATATCAGTTCATAGTGAAAATTACTTTTAAGGTACATAGTTGTTTGATTTGATGAATCTGATGTTTACTATAGCACTAAATACACTTGTAACCAATCTGTTTATCATTATTGTATTTCTAATGATTCAGTTAGCAAGATGATGGTTTTGATTGACTTCAAATTAGTATTCATAGACAGTAATTGATATAATTGCAATAAAAGTTTTAAATATGATCTTTTACATTAAATTCGTCTTATCTGTAATCTGTTTCATATTCATCGCTTTAATAGTTAATATGGTTATATTTCAATTAGTCATCTGTATAACCATAGATTCGAATTGGGTTGACTTAAATAAGAAAATTTAATCATCAAATATTACATTGTAATTTATAACCTAATTCATGGATATGTACATAGATGTTAACTTAAATTGCATCTTATCTTTTTCTCGCAATTTTCGTGTGTATCATTTAGAAGTATTTATTGGGTTCAATGATTTACTGGAATTAAGTTTGACTATACTAGTAGGCTTTAGTAATTTTTCGAAGAAGTATTCTGAAACTATCACAGTGTTGGAAATACTTTGATGAATCTGTATTCTTTGGAAACTATCAAGAGAATTTTCTTTTAAATAATGAACAGTACATTATTTATTAGCAATAATGATAGAATGGTGAAACGTGTTACAAAGATCAATAGGAGAAACATAGAAATGGGAGCAATAAAGTTATTTACTGAATAATAGTTTTTCAGACCGAAATCATACATATACAATCAGCTTACTGTAAAAGATCACCATATTCTTATGTAATGTTTCCAAAGTCTCTAGTAATCTGTATATGTATGTTCCTAATCTTCAGTAGAAGCTGTAATTCTCATCTACATGCTAGACATGTTTTATTTTCAAGTATTTTGAAGTAGTACTACGAAACTACCATTCAATGTCATAGAAACGAAAATATTTTCAGTGTTTCAACATAATAAGAACATTTTCTTGAAATCATGAACCAATCAATGTTAGACCACCATTAGAAACCTGGAAGCACTGGGACTCGTTAGCAGTGCCCAACCACGACTTTCGCAACCCGCAGCTATTCGAACCTATGACATTCAGTCTTTTGCTCGAACGCCTAACTTCTGGACCACTGAGCCGGTATCTAATAGTGTTAATATCTAACTTCGACCAATCCACGGTGGCTGCGCAACCTCATCCACTGTCTTCGGTGAACACTTCTTCACACCCAAACAGGGTTGGACTCCACTGGTCACAATTTCTCACTAGAAGTCGAAAAAACTTCCTCAAGAAGCTAGTCACTAGTGAGTACATGATCATTTGCATGAGAGGGTTGTGGAGATTGTTGAGTTACTTTTTGAAATCAATCGAATAATGTTAACTAAAACGCGAATCAAGTCTATCTGTTAAAGTATTTCAGTTATTTCATCTCAAAATAAGTTCAATATATTAGATTGTATGAAAACTATTCATTATGAACATAGTTTTGACTGTAGACGACTGATACTAACTGAATATTTGTTGTAAATTAAGAAATTCTTGTACTTACAATATATGTGGAATATTTTTGACAGAATGAATATACTTTAATGAGCTCTAATACATTTTAGTAAATTTAATATATAAATTCTTGAAAAACTCTCTAACTTTTTGTGCCACATTTTGTTTCGGAAAAAAGATTATTTCACCAACAAATCATAACGAACGTGGAGCTTTTGATGATGCTTACGCAGCTGTCATAAATCGAACAGGTAAATAAATTCTTCTGTTAACTAAGCTGTAATAAAGCTTTATATTTCATCTGTATAATGTTTTTTCTTGGTTGTACCTTTTGTTTGTTCACTAGGTTTTCTAAGTGTTACACTGTATAGCTTTTTACAGTTATTTTAACTACTACATGAATGTGGTGGTCGAAATTGTATGTTGTTATGGCCTAGCCCAGTTGTTTTATCCATCTAGGTCTGTCCTAACTTTTCAGACAAATTAGTTGCTGCTAATGAATGTACTGGGATGCTATGGCAGCAAGTGTTTCCATTAAAGAGTTATGATCTACGGTAATAATGCCTTCTCACAATTAGATTTCAGGGCTAGAAAAAACTCAACCCTAGAAATAGCCCATCTATCTGCGCTCTTTGGATTCTCGTCACTGTAGTTAATATATACAAGTACACATTAAAAACTGTCCATAAAAACGCCATCGCTCTGGCCCTAAAGAATTTTTCCTTGGACAATCTGGTGACGTTTCCAGATTTCTACAACAACTACTTACACAGTTTTCTTTTTAGTTATCTCAAGAGTAAGTATCTTTCAATGATGTACTCAAATGGAAAGCGACAACTGCCTTTAATAGTGTTTCAAATCACCTTATTTACAATTTAAACCTTCACTGAATATGTTTACACATAAATTTGAGATTTTGATCATTAAATCTTTGCATAAATTTCAATGGGGATCAGCTTATACTTTATCATAAGCTAAGTAAAAAACGAGTAATTATTTCCATTACTTAGTTATCAACACATTCAAACTTAGTAAATATAGTAAGATTGCAGACTAACTACCGTAGTTCATGAAACTTCGAACGCTACTTGAATAATCTTCATCTAACAACTTATTGATTGTTTGTTTTGTAACGTTAAATCGTTGTGAATAAAGCCAGTTTAGTACGGTAGGCAAGTAACTTACAAAATGATTTGCATTCATCCTATATTTTCTTCTAGAAATAATGCATGACTCTTATGTAATTTATACTGTAAAAGTTACACGTACTTCACCTTCCACTGGACAGTCTCAATCTTGGAATACTCTCCGTCGTTTCAGACATTTCGTTGAACTACACTCGTTTCTTACAAATAGAGTAAGTTGGAAAAAAATCAAGAAATTAATTTACTTTTGTATTGATTGTTTTTCTGATTTAGTAAAGTAGTCGAGATCGAACGAAATAATAATATACTTGAAAAAGACATCGTTTATTAGTAAAATGTGTACACCTAGTCTTCAGACATCTCTTTACAATACAAACTGATTATCGACGACCTTTCACATCTTATCTGGTCTTAAAAACACTTTGATCGCACCATACTTTTCACGTCTCCAAACACTCCCCTCTGTCAGCAACTTCTAGGCGACATTCCACTACATACTACTTATATGCCACCTCGTGAGTACCATCCGCTGCAAGATGAGGATAAAAGTCATGATTGATACGATTATGACGTATTCGATATTGAGTTTTGTTACTAAGTGTCTATAATATGTAATAACGCTTTAAGAAGTAATGCTAGTAATATATCTGTTGGTCATCGATGGTTAATATTTATTCCGTAAACTGTTCATTAATCAATTACCAAGCTCTATTCAGTTTAATGTATTACAAACTTGATTGATAATCTGTCAATCATCATATACAGTCTTCGTGTTCTTACTTGCATCATTTCATTTTCAATTTCCAGTTGTAAATATACTGCAGACCATTATACTATATAAATTCACCCTCAAACAGCAAAGGTACTTTTATATTGGTTTACAGGAAAACCAGACACTGCCCACCTGTTAACACTACAACGTGAACAGTACAGCTCAATCCTGTGGTGCAACCACACAGGTACCTGGCACCCCTGGTGGACCGTTCACACCATCTATATACACCAATATATATAGTGATAATTACTGATCTATTATCGCGTTAATCAATTTGAACCATCCCGCTTACATGACTGTCAAACTCACTATTATTAGCAATGGTGATAAGCAATACAGCACTCCAATGACAATGGCCCTCGAGAATGTTGCAAGACAACCACTAGTATCAATGAAATCGGTTACCCTATAAACCAAATTTATATATAGACTATTATCAAAACTCGCCAAAATAATGCCAAACCATTTACAGTATTCACAACAAACCTCTGTTTGGTCTCACAGACACAACACTTAATATTTATACATTCCTTGTGTACTACTACTACTACTACTACTACTCGGTTTTGAGCTGATACATGATTTTAGTTTGATAGTTTAATGAATAACAACTAGCTTTTTCCGTGGTATTAGGTAGATGGTTGGTGTTCAATTGTGTAACTGAAAATTCATATGGTTTAACGATTAATTTACAGTCTGTCAATGAATGATTGATGAAACTTAAAGCTTTTCGTTTCAAATTTACGAAACAAACTTTTAGCCACGATTTATGATTAAGGTGTTCAATTTTCACTCACTTTAGTCACAAGTTTATAACTCATTCTATCTAATTCTGTTTAAATAGTTGAATAATAAATTTCACTTACTCAGGGTGTACACAGACCTATGCACGTGTCGTCGAATATCAATGTTAAACATTATGTAATTAAAATCTATAGAATTTACAATTCCATCGTTATATTTTTAGTGTGGTCGTATCGCTGAACTCAAATTACCATCAAAAATAGCATTTAATAATATGAGTCCTGAATTTTTAGCGCAACGTCGACGTGGACTTAATTCCTATTTGAATGTAAGTTTAACATTATTAAATTCTAATAAATATCAACTGTTCAGAATTATACGGACTATTGGAGTAATTTCATGATAAAACTGAATCAAATACATTCATTACAATTCTAAATTCTTTTTAAAATTCAGATACAAAATCCAGTATTACTCAAATACAAGATAGAGGGTAGAAAACATTTAATTGCAACCTAATAATTGCATAATATCATGTGCTTACTTTGAGAACTACTTTTAATCCTTTTATAGTTTAGAAAATTTGGATACATCAAGAGAACAAAGCATAGTTGTGATTATAATTCAACGTTTTTTTACGCTTTGAGGCAACTAGGAATTTAACGTTTAACAGATCCCTTTAATTAGTAAAATATATGCATGATAATCTTCAAAATTTGTTAAAATACCATAGTTAATTTTAAAAGTTGTCCACAATAATTTGGTTTATTCATTTGTCAATATTTGATATATCCCTCAATAGAAGATTAATTTACAAGTGGTTATACGAAAAATTGCATGTCTAAATGTTTGCAATTTATCAGCACAGTTATCGAATGTCTTAATGTTAATCGTTCGCCTTAACACCTGATGCTTTTTAAAATTAATCTTCAGTGTCATTGTTTTTTTGCTTTCTTACTGTTTAAGAACTTGTTGATAAGATATGACGAATAAAAGTAAAAAGAAAAAACAAAGATCATTGGACACCGTGAAACGATCATTTTCATCGTGACTTAGTTATCCTTAACCAGCCGAGCTATATCGGCTGGAACATTTGTTCCTATAGGTTCTATCATGCAAGGTAAGTCGACTGGAGAACATTGAAACTAAAAGCAGTAACTCAAGGTATACACATAGATGGAAAATCTCATCATCAGTAACCCATCATTCGTAGCGTAAGTACAGATTGCATTGATGTCACTAGTATGCTTTAATTTTAATCATTGTAGTACCATAATTATTAGAGCTTGAGGAAATGATTGAAAACAACTAATTGTCTCATTATTCTCAGTTTCTGAATATACAAATATAATAAAATGAGAAAATGTTTAGGATATTAAAAGGTAATTTGTCAAGTTTGCAACTTGATACAACTAATACTGAATAGAGCGTTTGAAAATGAAACTAGTAGAACTATTTGTCAAACAGAAAATAAATAGCCGAAAGAAAACAGAAGCATTTATACCAGTAAGTGTCAAGATCAAGATGTGCAGGGAAATCATGTGTATATATAGTTTCTCGTATAGAATAAAAGTATCATTATAACCGTCTAGGCCACAGACAGCGATATTACGCAATTACCCGACCACCGTACGTCACATCGATCGATATTCATGAAATTCCATCAGGTTGTGATTGGATGAAATCTCTTCGGTTTCTTGAGAGACTCTGGATGCCTCATAGCACCTTCTTAAAGCCAACCCAATAGTAATAATCAATATAATGTGAATCAATGCAACTGATTGTTACAATTGTGAAGTTTGTAATTTCTTTGTGTCTTTAAAACTAAAAGTTTATAACTTATTGAAAAGTACAGTACAACTAAACTCATCGACAAATCTATCTTTCTAACAATAAAAATGAAAAATTGAAACAGATATTGGTCATCTTTGGTAGTTAAGAAATTTTCTTTTAAAATAACATGAATAATGAACTTTCGAACTAAACATCACTAAATATCTGACATTAACTCTGAGAAATACTAATATATTTATAAAAAGTGGGTAAATAAGCGAGGTAATTGTAATCTGTGCATTATAATTACGACAGACATCAATACTATTTTTTTAGTCTCCATCTTCCATTAAGAACAATTTGGAAAAGGTTTAAATTTATGAGTCTTATTGCAAAAAGCACAGGGTGCAGATGCAGTCAGTCGGATTAAAGGGACTAAACAAAGTAGAAAGAAACATGAATTGTATCTTTGAAATAATGTGAATATATGGAACAAAAATATTTCACTTACCAGAAACACTGCCTAATAGTACAGTTCTACACAAAACACGAGTACGTAATTTCATCTCTTTGTCACGTTCAGTTAAACTTGTAGTATTTGATGAATGCTTTTTGGGAGGCCAGAAATAATCACGCAAATAAATGACTAATTGAGTGATCTTTGGTGCACTTGTCCATGCACAAGCCTATTTTTAAAACAAACAAACAAAATACTGAATAGTGAGAAAGACAAGCAATCATGTTTGACTATATAAATTAACATAAAAATCATTGATGAGATCGATATTCGTAATAGATGAATTGCGGCTAACAATTGAATCCAGGATGAGTGTTTCAACGTAGTTAAGACTCGTCAGCTGGATAGTATCTGTATCCAACTGTTGATAAGGAAATAACACAATGCAGAAATCAACTCAACATTGAAAATACTCGACTTTTAAAAACTGGGCTGTAATGCTTGAGACCCATTTACACTTGTGAGGATAGGTTTAACAACATCCATACAAAGTGGGATTTAGAGTAAAGCTGTTAAATATGAACATCATCATTGAAATACGATGAAGATACAAACTACAAAGAATAAATCTGTTGCAGTGTTTAGCATTTATCAGCATGCAAACATAATAATGATATCTCATTGCTAACTCTATACATGAATCTACATAAAACAATTATTGTGTACACAGCCGTAAGGAGTTTCCCTCGCACAACCAGCATCTGCAGTAATGCCGCCTCACAAGGAAGGGGTAGGTTAGAAAAGGTCGAACCTAAAAAGGGTCACACCTCACGGATTTCCTTCTTCGGCGGTAAGGCCTTTTAGAAAAAAGCGGAGCCAACACTTTGAAAACTACGCACAAAAAGGCCGTACGTGACAGGCCTCAAGCAGTTGTCCCTTGGGCTCTGCCGTTAGGCTCTCAGGTCTCCAAGATCAACGCTGATAAACCTTTCTTTTCAAAGTCCTCCAGAAACACCATCTCACTACGTGAGCAGCCCGGAAGTGACAACCTCCCTCAAACCCATAACAATACATGAGACCGAATCGGACAAAATCAAATCCTTCCTATACCTCCTAACATTCTTTTATCAACCCGCACCGCTAATGTAATCGACTCAAGTTAACGGACCGTTATTCCCGGTCTCCTGAAACCCCGTCCTAAACTACATTTTAGGGCTTTCAATGTTCTAACCGTGTGTCAAATCGGTCGTCAGGCTTTATTAGCCTGGACTCTGGAATCTCGTGCCATCGATGTATGTTGCGTCTCCGAAACGCGCACACAAGCGATTAATTTGACTTCACCTTTTTCACATAAAGAACCAACTCGGTTTACGCTTCGTGTATCTGGAAGCCCTGATGCTGCTTCCCGTGGCCTCGCTTGTGTAGGTATGGCATTGAGTAGTAGTACGGCAGAACTAGAGCAAGCGCTTATTTATTTGCGGTTACTGGACGTAGAAAAAACACTGCAAACAAACCCCTCAGGCTTCTACTTAATGATAGCATAGCTAAGAATATATTTCATGAGCAACTCGACGAACAGTTAGGTAGCGATGTAAGTGATGCTCACCCTGAGGCAGCCTGGAATGATATGAAAAACGCTGTGAAAACACCAGTGGCATTGGTATTGAGTATTATCGAAAACGCTGTGAAAACAGCAGGCGCAGGCGCGATATTCGTCTGCTAACCAAAGGACGAGCCTACTGCGCAGCAGTTCGCTCCATCCAACTATATGGTTGCGAGACATGGCCAGTAAGAGTAGAGGATATTCTTAAGTTACTGGTTTCTGACCACAGGTCGCTTCGAAGCATTGGTCGTTCATTTGGTAACTATCGAGTAAGCAATGCTGTCGTTAGGAATCGAGCACTAGGTAAGAATGGCAAATCAATAGATGAGATGTTGGAACTTCGTCAGTTAAGGTGGTTGGGACATGTATTACGAATGCCCAACCACCGACTGCTTCGATGAGAGATGTTTTGTGGTGTAGGTCAGGGTGAAAGAAAGCTATGGGCAGCCAAACCAAAATGTGGCAGAAATCCATGAAGTCGCTGACAAGTGGACTGAGACAGGTTGGTAGATGTGGGCTACCTGGTTGAGGTCGGCGAGACGATAGTTACCGATGGTTAGAGACCTTGAATGACATGGCTCAAAACCGTTTGCAGTGGCGCAGGTGCAGCCATTCTTTGTGTTCTCTCGAATCCCAATCTTCTGAATTCCTCACGACCGTTGTTTCTCTTTTTTAACTGGTTCCTCTGGGATATACATCTCGAATGATATATTCGATCAATAACCTTTCAAATTACTACTAATACCTCTACAACTATGGGATTTGAATTGATAATTGCGTCTCTGTGCTAATGTGGTATGGCAACATCAACTTATGTATGTACATACAAATTTCGACGCTGTAACTGACTGACT